TCCCATCTTACCACGTAAAACAATTATCGTTATGGTATATTATTTCTCAAAAATAAATTTTTAATTTTAGGTATTTATTTTTATGTAAACTCGAACTGTAAAAACCAGAAAAACAATGAACGAACCAAAATCGTTCACGTTCGTAGAATACAAGAAGAAGAATCATGTTCATGTTCGAAATGGTTTTTTAACATTTGAACGCATACGCTTTAGAGCTATGAAAATGAACGCGTTATTTCCCATCACTCGTTGAAAATATATAAATACTTAATTTTTTTATAAATTATCCCCGTTTCCGTAAAATAGTTTATATCCAAACACTTTATTAAATTACTAAAATAAGTTTTCTTTCCAATATACCATTATTTTAGCACATGATCGTTTATTGCTGGTCACATCGTGTTCTATTGTCATTCGTTACTATCTATTATTCAACGGAACGTGTCACGTTCTATTAAAGATGGCGTACTTGTTGATCTCTCGTTGTTGTATACGTTTCGGAATAACCACATTTTTTGGTTACACTCGAAAAAAAATTATGTCCCGTATAAAAGCTGCAAGTGTCGTCTGCGAAAAGTACAGTTGGGACTTATCGACAAAAACGGTTCATTACGTTTCAATTACCATTTAACATTTTTCCAATACGAATTTCTAAGCTAGGTGCTGATTTAGTTGGAGATGTTACAAAAAAATACTTTATCAATGAGTATTTTCTGTGGTGGTTTGGCGAGTGTACGACGCATATCCAATAATGATTACTTTAATTAACTTATACTTTAGAAAAAAGTGCTATAAACATTATGTACACCGAAAAACAAATTCAACACCCGCCGCGTAATCGTCGTTTCATTTATTTACCGTAAAAATATAACACATTCGATTATCTTCGATGATGACGTCATAGATTCAAACGACGTTTATTTTTAGATTGCCTTTGTGTGTTCTTATTATGTCACCGTAATCTTTGTCAAACGCACTGCCGTAATCGTATCTGTCTATGGAGGGGAGTAATATGTGTGTCGTTATCCCCCCCGTGACAAAATAAGAAATACGGCGATGATTTTTTTTTATTTAGTTCACAGGGGAAATTGTCCACCCCCCGAGATTCTAATTACGCAACTGCTCCAATTGTGTATTTAGGGGGAGAGATTCGGGACCCCCACGAACATGAAATCATAGCGTTCGAGCAATAAATCTCAGCACTACTCTGCATTCTAACTAGGCCCTCTCCCGCACTACATTTCTAAATTCTGTGTCAAACAAAATTGTTTTCGTTATCCGTAGGGCGTCTCTTAGTGGTCCGTTATTTGAACGGAAAAATGGCGCGAAACGAAGGATAGGTGAAAATTTTGAGGTTAAATTCTACTCCGGAATGTTTTCGTGGCTCCCCCTCCCAAATGTAACCAACTTGTGTGACGATATGATTTGATAAGCGGCGCGATAACAGTCGGGAACTCTTAGAACTTGGCGGATAGCTTTTCTATCACATTGTTGTACCTTTGCCCTCTCTTTTAAAAAATTCAATTCGTTTGAGTCGATGGGGGGGGTTAGGGCTAAGAATGCAAACTACGCTATTGGCACATTGTCCAAACTCCAAGTAGCGCTGTGGGCCTTATCAATAAATCATACGTGTATAGTCATCGATTGATCCCTCGCCGATGATATTATTCAGCTCATGTGCTCGTTCGGTGTTGGTTATAATTTCAAATAAAAAAATTCGATCCGAGGAAAGTGACATTTTGTACTCAATAATGTAGAGGCCTCGGTTCAATGTAGGAAGATGTGGGGCCGAATCAACGAAAATAAGAGCCGTGAGAACTTTTGTTGAAAAATAGTAGTCGTGCAGTAAATTTTTCAACAAAAAAATCAGTATATTTTCGAAACGACACATGATAATATATAGATGTAAATGAACATATAATGTGTATTCATGTGTAAATAAAATAATTAGTTTCAGATTTTTTTATGGCGTTTTTTGTTTGAATTAAAATAACTTATGCCGCACTGACTGTTGAAAATAATGTGGCGACAAAAGAATTTTAAACGTAAAGTAATTGATATTTTATGCCGTCATGGCAAACTGTTTAGGAAAATACCGTGCAAAAATAATTCACATGTTTCGGATAAACATTAATTCATTTGTAAACATAAAGCATATTTGTTTAACACAAAGAAGTTTCACTGTAATGCGAGTGGCTCGTCGAGTTCTACACAAGGAAAGATAAAGTTAGGAGAGGGTTTCGAGGGCTTAGCCTCCTCAAAAATAGATTTACCTTTAATTTACCAGTATCCCGCTCAGGTATGCCCCGACACGTATTGTGTATTAAAATACAACACGGGTAATTGTGAAATTTTTTTATTTGTCGTATCGTCACCAAGGTTATTTACACAATGAATAATTAATTTTTTTTATACAGTAAAGTTAGTATTGGAGTTACTGAATGTACGATATTTCAATAATAATTACAATAACAGTAACACTTTAAACCCGAGGAGCTGAGTTAATTAGTCCGTATTTCCGCCTAAGTGAATGGGGTTAAAATTTTTTACTTAATTCTACCTAGCCGGTGAAAAAAATTGTCGACGATTTCGCTCACGAACCGTTAACAGTTCCTTTTTTTCAAAAATTTGCCGACCAAGTCGAGTGTCTACTCGAGCAAGTATAACTAACCCCTCACACGGGAAACAATGTCCTTGAACATCACTAATTGTCGTGTATTAATTACACATTGTGTAACAACGTTTTCGATTTTCTACCCGCGTAATGATAAAATTATACTCAAAGGTAAATTTCTCAAAATCGAAATTTTTTTTTTTTCGTGTCGAACGATGTCTTTTTTGCACCCGTAATTGTGGGAGGGGGGCAACGCCGTGAAAATGTTTTATTCTTTCCCTTTTAATTTCTCGGTTTATTAATTTTTTTTTTCACTCGAACGCGTCTTTGTTGTAATGTCCCGAGACTTTTATGTATTTTTAGCTTAGATTGGAAGCTGAGAAGGTATTATTTTACTGTGATGTGTTTTTTTCTTTTTTTTGTGTGTCTGTTACCATTTTTTCTTAGCTCTCACCGAACCGATTTCTTTCAACGATACGTCAAAAGATCTCAAATCGTATCTAGTCGAAGACAAAACCCTCAAAAATTGAAAAAATTTCCTTCGTTCCCCGTAAATGGGGGAAATCTCCAAAAAAATTACAAATTTAAAAATCGTTAATTTTTTCAATTTTGCCTACTTAAAACTGCCATAACTTTTTCAAAAATGAACAAATCAATAAATGCTTTTTTTTTTATAGATGCTTGATGTCTTTACCTATCATTTGGTACATTTTTTTGATAAATCTGACTCTTTTCTGCCCACAGGGGGGGATTTAAAATGACAACTTTTTCAACTTAACTTTTGAAAGTGTTCCGAAAAATCTGACACTGTTATATATATCTTAAATTAAAGCTAATATAAAGTACTTTATTATGGAAAAAAAAAATTTCGGACTTTATTTTGTCTTCACGGTGAAAATGGCTACCGAATGCAATTTTTGTGTGAAAATTCTGGATTTTATTTTATACATTTTTAACTTTATAATGCTATAACTTATTGAAAAGTGTATGGATCAACACAATTTTTTTATGAGAAATAATATTTATATCCCTTTTTCATTCGACATACTTTATTTTAATCAGGATATTAATAAGGAAATAGCAATTCATTTAGCTTTTGGATTAATCCTCCAATTTTTTAAAATTAAACACCATCTAAAGATTTGCATCGAACCGTTTTTTTTATAGTGATTTTAATCACTGTCAAATATCATTATACTTGATCCAACTATGCCACGTCACCAGTGTGCCGCGACCCCCTGTGCTGTCTTTTTTAAAAATCTTAATAGTCCAATATTCTATAATTCAGACGATTATATCGTAAGAATAAATTCCGAGGCGAACAATGTTTCAAAAACGAGGAGCAACTTTTAGCGATTGGAAATTTATTATTTTCGAATTCGACGACGGGTTGTGGTGAATATTTTTTCATTACCGTCGAGCGTTCAAATAACAATTATTTATTTTCAATGTCGTTGTCGTAAACGAGCCGCACGCCAGTTGTGTTGTTGAAATTTTTTATGGACTATTAATACGCGCAGTAATAAAACGTGTAAAGACACGGTGCCGTATGTATATTGTAAACACAGGTTTTTATAAAATAAAAAAAAATGTCGATCACATTGTAGACCCACGAGAGAAGAAAATTTCACGACCGTTTGAAAAACACACGAAAGTTATTTTATGGTAAGTCGTCGTCTACCGGTGTCCTCCTACGCCACGGAGACGGGAAACAATAATTTTCCATTACCAACACCCTCCCCCCCTAATCAATTAATACATAATTGTGGGCTAGTCGTCGATTGATCGTTGTGTGTGCCACGATTATCAGTAATATTGTCGAGAGAGCAATTAGAGGATCTTTCGACCGGTCAGTGGTTATGTGTTCTGGAGATGATCGAAATGAGGAGAGCACTGTTGAAACCATGTGCCTGGAGGAAACGGCCATTGTACAAATAACAGTCTTTTTCCTCGCCTTAATCCCAACTACTTGGGGTTGGTCACCCTTATCCTAAACTTCCATTTGACACCTTCTCCCTCATCAACGGTCCTCATATCGCAATTAATAACATCCCTCCATCTCTTTTTTAGACTTCCTCTACCACTTCTTCCTTCAACATTAATTTCTATAGCTGTTCTTACAGCTTCCGATTCCTCTCTCGTTTTTTTTCAATCCGTAGATTGGTTTAATGATGAAATACTCCTCCCTCCATACTTCTCTATTCAATGCGACTCTCTTCAATTCTCTGTATGTCTGTTCTTATGTCCAACATGACCTTTCGCCAGCACCATATTTCCAAAGACTCTATTTTTCTCCTCATAACATGAGTAATAGTAATAATAGTAATAGTAATAATAATATAAATATATTATATATTTAATGAAAAGGATTAAATAAAACGCACGATTTAAACAAACAAAACAATCGCTCTTTAATCAAAAAATATTAATTACAAAGTACAACAAACCAAATGCTTTTTTAAATTATTTTTTTTTGAGACATAAGTATGAACGATAAGAGAGTACTAAAATAGTGGCGGTAAAGGTAAGGATTCAAATAACATTGTCAACTAAAAAACATTCGAGACTAGACTGTGTTGGACACGCAATGTTTAACAATTAACATAAAACAATATCCAGTACACAATAACAAAAATTTAAAATAAAAATCGTACGTACTTCTTACTGATAAAGGTTTGAAAAAAATCTTATTCGTGTGTAAAAATAATACATTTATATCTAAATATATTAACTACTTAATAGAATTATTCTTCTACACCACTATAGTAGAAGAGATATAATGATTGTAACATACATATTACAATACAATCAGTTTTTTTTTTTATGTAAACGTTTAACAATTAAACATTATATAATTATTATTATGATCGTATAACACAACACGACAAAGATGCGAGTTATTGATAACAACAGAAATCAGTCAACACAGACGGTAGTGACTTCTCGGCACGCAAATAGAGTTAAATAATTTAGATAGAGTGTTCAGTAAGTAAGGAAACGGGTTTCTATTGTTCTCATTGTTTGGAACAATAGACCTGTTTCCTTACTTACTGAACACGCTGTATACAAGTGATATTAAGTTAATGTAAATATAAAATATAAATATAGCGAATTATTATATAAATATAAAATATATATATAACTCTCTATCTAAATATAGATAGAGAGTTACTATATAAACGAGTTATTATATGTGAACGATTATGTTAAAAATCAATGGCAGAGCTTGTTGTTCAGTAATTCGTATACCATTCTGTGTCGGAGTACGATGGCGTCTTTTTGAGAGTAATTCAACGGCGCGTCACGGGCCAAGCGTTCGGCGTTGACGCAGGCGAACACACCGCAGTCGTGCGTGTTGGTCTGCGCGGGACATTCGGCCATTTCCAGTGTCCAGTCGTCGATGTCGAATTGGGTGCCCTTCTTGTCGGCGTGCTCGGCGGCCAGATAGTAGAAGAGCGCGCGGACGCACTGGTTGTTGGACAGGCCCACGCTGTCGTAGTAGCTTATGGTGCGGGTAACGAAATTCGCACACAACAGGCTCCAGTGGTTGTTGTTGTGCACGGGCACCAGCAGCATGCGCTTGCCAAACACGTCCACCTTGCGCGTCCATCGGCGCACGCGCGCGTACCCGGCCGTCACCAGGGTGGTGTAGAAGAACGTATTGTGCGCCATAACGCGGCCGCTCGACCTGGCCTCCACCAATCCCAGATAATGGTTGACGGCCTCGTCGTTGAGCCACTGCCGGGGCGAGAACACCGTCAGCACGTCTTTCACCCTCAGATTGCTGGTGCTCGGGTCCAACACGTGATCGACCAACCGTTTCCGATTGAACCGCTCCTGCATGGAGCGCAACAATTCCGGACAGTATCCCGGGAACAGTTCTTCGGGTTCCGGTGACTGCAGTTCTACCCTAGCGTCGTTGTCGTCCTCGTCGTCGATTTGAAACTCCAACACGTTGCGGCGAACCGGATGCAACGCGCGTCCGCCGATCGGCGGCACGCAAATGTTCAGCAGGCTATTGTCGTCGTTCCGTCCGACGGCCGTCGCCAACGCGTCGTCGTCGTCATCGTTGTCATCACTCAACACTATACATCCGGGCGAAAACCGCTGCGGTTGCGGCGGTGACGGCGGAGACCGAGGAGGTGAACGGAATCGCGACGGCGAAGGAATCTGACGGGCGGCGGCGGGAACCGGCGTCCGTGTGTCGATTTTTGCGATCAGTTCGCCCCAATTGTGCGCCGACTCGACCAACAGTTGATCGGCCGTGGTGCCACCGCCACCGTCCTCGTTGGACGACGAACATATCGTCTCCAAGTCGTACTTTTCCAGCACATTCGATAACGTTTCTGTTTCGACGGACAACCGACTGACGCCCGATCGTACGTCGACCACGACTATGGACGAACTTTCTCCGCCGCCGCCGCCGTTCGACGTGACGCTTTCGGGTCTGGCCGTAGCGATGCCGGTGTTGGCCAGCGACCGGCACATGTTGTTCAGTGTGCGTTTGAAGTCGAGTGACTCCCGGACGGAAGCTGTGTACTCGTCGGTCCGCGACGCGACCGCTCGTCCCGGGACCGGTGGACGCGGCGGTGGCAACAGGTCCGTTTGGAATTGATAACGGTTGGGTTCGCGCGAAGAGTTGGCGTACGCTTGCAATATCAGCCGCACGCTCTTATCCAACCGTCTTCGCCCTACTCCTCCTCCTCTGTCGGCGGCGGTCCTGCCGTTCTTGGTCCGACGGCGATGGTCGCGTTCCTCGGCCGCGGCTGCGGCCGCTTCGTCGTCTAACAGCTCGCCGTCGTCTTCGCTACCGTAGCTACCGTTGCTGCTGCTGCTACTGTCGTCGTAGTAGTCGCTGTAGTCGCTGTCGAAATCCCATTCGCACGGTTCGTCACCGATGCCCGTCAGGTCTATGGCGGCCGAACGCCTCCTCGAGCCATGTCTACCGATCGCCGCCGCCCTGGGTTCCATGCGTTCGACAACCCGCTCGATGTCGGCCACTAAATCGCCGACACCTCCGTTTTCGTTGTCCGATTCCCATTCCCAATCGCTGGACACGTCGAACGATTGCACGTGGTTGTCGATCACCGGTATGGCAATTCCGTGTAACCGTTCCGATGACGCTGCGGTGGCCGAAGAACGCGACGAGGTCTCTTCTACTTCAGTGTCGCTGTTGGAAGACGACGACGACGAAGACGAGGTTTCTTCTACTTCCGAATCGCTGTCGGCCGACGATGACGACGAAGATAGCACCACAATGGGCGCCGTCTCCACGACTCTGTCGCGGCCTCTGTTTGGAATTTTATTACGTCTTTGGCCATCGGTCGAACACCCAGGAGGTTCTTCATCTAGTTTTCTCTTCGTCCTGGACGACGAATAATTGCCGTTGGTAGTCATTTTAGTTTGTTCAGATCAAATATTTTCTGAAACAAAAAAATATAAATATATAAAATGGCCATAAAAACCGGCCTACTATATCTGAACAACATTATAATTTGATTACTAAAATTTATACTACAAATTAACTTTTTCCATCAAGTATAAAACATTGCTCGATTAGAAAATAATTTTAAATAACGATCTAAATTTAAATATTATAATTTACAACAACAAAACTTTTTTTGTCGTATTCCAATTGTAAATTTGATCTTTTCCGATAGTTAACAGTAATGTTAATTTTTATTTCGCGATTTTAGACTAGAAAGTCAGAAAACAATAATTACACTTTTGTTTTATACATTATTTCAAGTAGATATGGTTTTTCTCATTCGAGCGTTAAGAAGAAAACAGAATAATAACAAGAGAAATTAACTTTTATCCGTGTGATTCTTCAGTATAATATACACACATATCTATCATAATAAATCTTAGAAAAATATCGAATAAGTGAAGCTGTAAATAATAAATGAGTTTTTTTTTTACTAGTACTGCAAAACGTGAACGTCTTGAATTCCAATTAAAATAGTTGCGCCCAGTTCTTTATACTTAAATACAATAATTTTCATAGTAATTAAAATAAATTAAATAATATTGAAAATTATCTATAATAATATATTATACACGATAGAGTACATTATTTCTATATTTAATTTAAGGCGTAATAATTGTTCTGATCTTATTTCATTATGATATAACGAGAAAATCTATTCGTTATTTACCTAATTATTAAGCTCTTTCATGATACTAAAACACATTTTATTTTATAAGCGTTTATACAGGTGTTTCAAACCTAATTGAAACGCTTATCATTTTTGATACAATTATCATTTTGTTGAAATTTTTTTCAAAAATAATCATTGCTTTCCTTATCTACAATTAAATATATTTATTTATTATTTATAAACTCGAAATAATATGCTTTAAAAGAGGTAGTCTAAAAATACAACAATAACTTTAAAAAATTTAACAAAATAATAATCTTATCATAACATATAATTTGTCAGTTAGACTTAAGACACCCTATACAGAATGAAACAAATCTAACTGACTCATATAGCTTATGATCTATGTATGATATGAATTTACTAATAAAGAAGGACTTCTTTGTGATAAATTGATATTAGGAACTCATAATTCTGAAACACAAGATAAAATGATAAAAATAGGAGAGGCTATACAAAATCTAAGATTAGCTGAAATTAGAAGAAAATTTTTTGAAAAAAAAATGTAAAGTAGAATTAAACTGTTTGAGTGAAAAAATTGTGAAATTTTTCCACAATTTCTAGATGCTGTTCATACAATAGACTACCATTTGGTATATTAGTAGCGGCAAAGGTATTTTAGAATTATAACACAACATTTTTTAAAGGTATAGAAGGTATTTTTATAATAAAATATTAATAAAGAAGTTCTAGAAAGATCTAGAATTTATAATATAATATAAAACAAAACTAATATCAATTTATGTTAAATGAAATAAAATATTTAGGACACAGGTTTAGTGAAGGAAAAATAAAACTAGACAGTAGTAAAATATTTGCAATTTAAGATTAGAATGAACCAAAAAATAAAAAAGATCTACAGAGATTTTTAGGATTAATTATCTATGTAATATTATGCCAAATGTAGCTGAAATTACAAACCCATTCAAGCAATAATTAAAAAAAGATGAAGAGTAGAGCAAACATGTTATTTATTGGACCAATATGAATAATGAATAACAGATATAATAGTTAAATGTAAGGTATGTGAAAAATATAGTAACCAAAAGAGCAAAAAACCCATGATAATATAGAAATTACTTGATCTTCCATTTCAAATAATTGGATGCAATATTTAGATTATTATATAATTAAATTATATCTGATACTTGAAGACTATTTAAAAAAAGATTGAAATAATAAAAATAAAAAATAAAAACTCTGAAAATGTCATAGAAATATTAAAAAATATTTTTGCAATGCAAGGCATACCAAATGAATTAATAGCAGATAATATACCTTTTAACTCAATTCAGATAAAAAATTTCAAAATAAGTCTAGTCTATATTATTCATAAAGTAATGAATTTACAGAAAAATGAGTTTGGATAGAGAAAAAATTATAAAGATATATAGCGAGTCTAAAGTAGATTTACAAACCATGCTGATGTAATATAGAAATATGCCAATTTCTAGAACAAATATATCACCTACTCAATTATTATTTAGTAAAATATGTAAGACTAAACTAATACGAAATGAGTTATTGAAACCAAAGGTAATAAACGACTATAAAGAATTAATGAAAAAAAAGGCTTAACTAAAAAAAGTATTATTATAATATAAATGTTAGAGACAGAAAATTGATTATAAATCCTAAAACAAAGACATATGGAAATCTGCAGAAGTTTTTAAACGACTTGATACACCAAGATCAATAATCTTAATAGATGAAAATAATAGAATTAAAAGAAGAAATGAAATTTATAATAAAATCTCAGTCTTCAGGTAATATAGAGGAAAGATAGTCAAACTACTACAAAAAACCATAAAACACAATAATGAAAAAGAAAAAGAGGATATGAGTTTAGAATAAAATGAGAAGGAAAATAACATTATAGAACAATTTCTTGAAAGTAGTGAGATAGTAAGTAAAGAGGACGATAATAAGTATACATTAAATAAATATGGTAATAAAACTAAATTGCATAACTATAAAAATATATCAAGGAATAAGAATTATTAATTAATTATAAGTGTATTCTTCTTGTTTATATTAATCTAAAAACAGTTTGTTTAGAGAGATGTAATTTTATATTTATATTATCACATATATGTTGAAGCAACACTAATTTGTGATATATCACAAATTAGTTTAGTTATAGTCATAGTTTACTTCAGTTAAGTTAAGAAAATAATAATGTAATAGTGGTTTTTTCAATTTATTTTGAAAGTATTTAATATAATACATGTCATATATACATATATATTTATATATAGGATGTGCTATAGTTATTTACTAATTTTAACATTAGTATACATAGTCAAATTAGTAAATCCTGGTGGAGGGGGGACACTCTGTATATATATACATGTTTTTTTTTAACTTTAGCTGTTATAACAATTATGAAATAATATTTGGTTTGTTTCATTTTATGTTAAATATTTGAAAAGTTTTGTTCCTAATGTTGTTAAAAATTTATTTTACACTAAAAATTTGTTAGTTCCGTTTTTAAATTGAGGATTTTCCTAATTAAATTTTTCTGTTTTTTTTTATAATTATCTAATATAAAACATTAAACAATTTTTTAATTATTAATTAATATCATATTACAATATTAATTAACTGTTAAATATAATATATTTATATGTACACAAATCATTTTCAAAATTTTCTATTTTTTAAGAAAGTTTCGATCTTATTAGGCAACATAATCTAAAAACACTAAAATAAATATTTGATATGAAACCTTTTATTTTATTATGATAATATACCGTCTCTTATATCTATTACTTTCTTATTATAATGCTATTTTTGAATACATATAATGGTACTTATTAACATAAAACTTCTGTTATGAGTATAGAATTTTAAATATTAAGATACATGAATGTTCTCATACATAGATAGAGATAACTATTGTTTAGCAATGAACATTATTTAAAGCACGGTAGCTGCTTTAAATTATCTCTGATAGAGCAGGTGAGTTTTATTGCAAATAAGAAAATAAAAATCAATTAAGCCTACAGAATTTAATTGTTCACTACTGTTCAAAAAAGGTAAAATTGTCTAAAGTTTTTGAAAATTTCATAGTTGCTTTTAAAATTTTAAAAGCATAAAAATTACTCAATACAATTTACTCATAACAATTTGTGTTAATATATGTTAATATTTGTGTTAAAATAATATACTCATAACAATTTGTGGCATTCACTGCCTCAGACCGAAATACTTTCATGGATAAAAACACATGTACCCAACATGGTTGGATTCATCAATAATCAAGATTTTACTAGAAGCATAGTGAAATTTGAATATAAATGAGACTAATTAAACATTTTTAAAATAAACCAATTGTACTATTTTATCTGTTTACTAAGTTTCATACCTAAACTCTAAGGAAAAGGAGAATAAAAAACTGGTAAATCAGTAATATGGGTGGTGATGTGTATGTATTGCAGATGAACAATTGTTTGGACAAATAATAAAAAATACTAAATATTAACTTTTGCGACTAACATCAGTCAATAGCGATATAGGCATAATAACAAGCCATAAGACTGCAAAGCACTATTCTGTTGGGCGAGGCATATATGAGGCGGTCTTGTTACATTCAATGTGGCAAAATAAATTAGATAACTATCATGCGAGAGAACAATATAAAATAAAATAATAATCATTTTAAAATACAATATAATTATACCAAATACATATTGATTTTATCAATGTTCAAAATTAAAAGACAAAGATTGCAAATTCTTTTTTTTATACAATATCATGATTTAAAAACATTACAAATTAATCAACAATATATCCTTGCAGGATAGATTAGAGAATATACACAAATGATAGGAATGAAACCCATGACACCGCTTGAAATTCACTCCGATGTTCTATGGAAATCATCTCGAACGAGATTCGAGGTTCCATTGGAACGAGGAGATTAAGTGTATCTAATAGTATTGAACACAACAAAATGGTTATTGTTGTAACAAAATTGAAAAGGGGTGACTGACATCAGTCAACAGGAATATATTCATAATAACAAGCCATAAGACTGCAAAGCACTATTCTGTCAGATGAAGCATATATGAAGTGGTCTTGTTACATTCAATGCGGTAAAATAAATTAGATAACTAACGTGTGAGAGAACAATATTTTAATATCAACAAATTACAATTCAATCAATGAGCTAAATGTGTCAGAAATATGAATGAAACACAATAGCACCATGATAATTGATGTAATGTATTTATTAAAATAAAGTTTCAAAGAAAATCTAATGACAACGATATGAGAAATATTAACTGACAAAAAATAAAAAAACAGGAAAATGTTGTTGAAATTACCAAAGATACATATTAAAAGGGAGTCCGGACAGCAGTCAACAATTGATCTTCACTCACGGATTTGGTTCAGTGAAAAGTTCAAAATTTTACTTCTCTCCGCACGAATATAAGCCGCTTGCCACTCGATTGAAAAATATTTAAATACTTTATACACGGAGATTTTCTCGGGGAGTCGTTCGACACCCAACAAATGCCAAATAAGAAAATTCACTAATACATGGAAATACATAAATATCAAAAACGCAAGACGAGCGTTGGATTACCTGATGGAATATGGAGAATGACGGTGACATTGCAACGTTTGCTACAATCGTTCAACTATCGTTGCGTCGTATTCAGAGAAAAACAATTATTGTTTTAAGCACTAGCAGAGTTCGATTCGCTCGAGAATGTAAAACGATAACGGGACACGAGTCGGCCAACGTTGTGCAAGTTGTTCTCACCACAATTTTACGCGACACCACCTAGGCACAAACGACGGCGGGAAACGCGCACTTAGCGTACTCGTAACCTAATTTAGAAAAAAATTATAGCGTCGAAACGTAATTGATCACCGATTGTCGTCCAATGTCTGTCATGTCGATGTATTCGTTGGACGCGACAAAATTCCCACAGACGGCAGTCGTACGCACTAACAACAAATTGGCGGCGATACCGTAGAAAAAATTTTGTGAAAATAGTCGTAGGGCAACAGCTAGCGCGCGCGTAACCGATTTTCTCGGGGGACTGTGATAGGTACGTTACTCGCTGGCAAACACTATCAAGGAGTCGATAGGGCGCACGCGCTACGGGCAACAGCTGTGCGTGCGCCACACGTTGATAACGCGCGGCGGCGGTAAACGGCGACGTCGCGCGCGCGTAGTCAACGTTACTCAACAAAGTCGAACGGATTGTTGTCCGAAAGGCAAAACCGTGTTCGGTTCGCACAGTCTCGCTATCGTTTCATACGAAATCACAGGTAGTCTGCTCCGGTTCCGCGCACCATTCGTTCGATAGGATTTATATCACGCGAAACGGCTTCGATTTCCGCCGCCGACAACAAATCGAATCGGTCGCGTCCGTTTGCAGTGTAATTTAAATTCGCCGCCGTTTCGACGGTACTAAAAATATCAAAAAAAAAAAAAAAAACCGGACGATCATCTCGCACATGGCCATACTGATTGTCGAGTGTCGTTGATAAAAAATCGAGGTCTCCGGAGCAACACTAATTGACCGCCGTTGCCGTAACGTCGACCACTCCGCAACACCAGCAGCGGCAACAGCAATAACAAGTGCGAGTGTTTTTGTTTTCGTTATCCGTACCTGAGATATACACACACACACACACACACGACCGACGATAGTAGTAAATACGTACCGTACGTGCGTATCGTTTCGCGACAATCGTCAATGTTACGCCGCTTTTCGGAGTGTAATCGTTTTTGGATTTTACTCTTCGCCGTTTATCCGAATTGCGGACGGCCGTCCGTCACACCATAGTTATTGTCAATTTCTGTTTGTTTTTTTCGCCTCCGCAATTGACGGGAGTCGAAATTTTGCATTATCGGACCGTGTGTCGGGTATATTTTTTCTTATCGTTATCGTTTCGAACGGAAAACCCAATTGGGAAACGTGTTGACGGATCGAAACTCCTGATGAATTATGGCAAAAATCAAAATCCATTATGATATGCGATCATCATCGTCGTCGCCGTCGTCGTCGTCGTCGATTGTGTGTACTGGTCGACCGCGTTACTAGTGCGACCGTTCAAAGGCAGTGATCGCGTTGTCGTGTGCGAGTCGAGCCCAAGACCACCGTTGCATGAAAATCGACGTGTCGTTTGATTATGATATGTGAAAAATATGGCTCACGCATCACTACATCCGACAGACAGAGCAGATAACAACCAGCTGGTCAATCGTTTGGTGCGGGTCGGTTACTATGAGTTAGAGAAAACTATAGGCAAAGGCAATTTCGCAGTTGTGAAATTAGCCAAACATGTCGTGACCAACTCTAAGGTAAAACCGATTGAAATTCATCTAATTTCACAACCGGTTTACTTTGTCATTTATTATAGTTTTTTTTTTGTTATTACGCGACCTAAGGACAACGGTTGTAATTTTATTTGTTGTAAATTTACTCTGGAGTCATAAAAACCAGGCTTTTTAATAGTTTACTTAATTGTTAAAATATATCATTATAGTATGATGTTGAATCAGCTGTAAAATATTGATAAGCATGTAAATATTTAGTTGTCAAAAAGAAATATTAATATGAATAAAATATTTATAAATTGCACAGACATTAAATATTTAAAAGTGTTTCTTAATTTGAAAATTATCAAAAATTAGGATTTTTATCATTTAACTAGCATGAGGAGTAATAATAATGATGAATTATTTTAACTTGTTGAGTATCTGGAGAATTTTGATAAAAAATAACCACTTGTTGTCATTTATTTTCTGGAAGAGTGTTATCACTTGTTGAACTAATTCAGCTAGTTTCTCCATTATAAAAATAAATAATTTTTCTTTTTTCATAATTGCAAATTGAAACTATGATATTATAGACATTTTAAACTCGGTTTGTCTTTAATAAAAAAATTGTAAAAGGAATACTTAACTTGTATGATTGCTATCCTCTAATTATGTATTGAATTTATTATGTTTCCTAACCTGAGATTTTTTTTAACATGTTTCATACTTATTTTGAAATTGCTAAGTCTTTACAAATGTCTTTGATTTTGTTTGATGATAAACATTTAAAGTAGAAACAATTACCGACATCCCCAGAGGAGAGTTTTTTATAGACAACAAGCTCCGTTGATTAGATCCTTAGAAAAAGGTACAAAGTGTAGAATACATAAAATGTCCCAACTAAACTAATTTAGTAGTAAAAATCAGTTATTAATGCATAAATATTATACAACCTTTCTTCTATGTGTGTATGTGTGTGCTAATACTTTTTTGAAAGATATTGTATTTTTAAATAATCACACATACAAATATATTATACATAAATGATACAACAATGATTAATTTTTTATTTCAATTCTGCAAACTATTAGTTTGAAATTTTTTTTTTTTTTTTATCACCAGGAATTTTAGCAGTGTTAGTTATTAATATTCTACTATTTGCAATTGAAGTGTTATTTCACTAACCAAAGTAAAATATTTTTATCTTTAGGTAGAATGCCGACCTTAATTTTATTGTGTATTAATAATTATTATATAATTTGTTTTTACATAAAATTAATGCAAACATGTATTTAAATTGTTAAATATACATAATTTTTTTAAAAGTTTTCGATAACCGTGAAAAATATCAAAAAAATTTACCAATCTTTTTCTGTTATAGTAGTTTTTATGTTATTTCTAGATTAACCTCGTATCAAATAAATTATTTATTTATTTTTCAATAATAATTCATTGGAAATTAACTAGTACAAATATGAAATTAAGAAAATCTATTGTTATCATTTATGTTGATTTTACATGTTGTGTTGTATAAATAATAATAATAATTTATTTTAATTTAAGGTTGCTATCAAAATCATTGACAAAACACAGTTAAATGAAGATAACCTGAAAAAAATATTCAGGGAAATTCAGATTATGTCCAAACTTAGCCATCCTCACATTGTTAGATTATACCAGGTATGTTTTAAAATTTAAATCAATTTACAGTGGTATATATTTTTATTAAATATTTTTTTAATATTACACTTCTTTGTAGTCCTACAGATCATAGATTCTATAAGTTTTCTAGCTGATAATCATTATTATTTACAGGTCATGGAAACTGAAAAAATGATTTATTTAGTGACTGAATATGCTGCTGGAGGAGAAATTTTTGGTAATTGCAGTAATATTTTAAATAATATCAACTTTTTATTTTTACTAGTCAAATATATTTAAGATTACTAGTTGTTCAGAGTTGTTATGTAGTATTGAATTTAAATGAATGTATTATCATGATATAGTATATAATATTTGGTTTGGTAAAAGTTCCCTAAATGCATTGCCACTGTTTTGATACTCAATTATCGGCGGTTCTACTTAATAGCAAAGATTTGGGCCTGTATTTTTAGTTATTGAACCTTATGTTGGCAATAGACTAACACCATCAACACTAGAGTATAAATTATTGTAAAGCTTCCTTCATAGAAAAGTCTAAAATAGGTTGTAGAAATTAACATAAATGTGGCATATATCACATACAACATAATATCAAATTAACTATTACAAAAATAATAGGGATTATGCAATTAAAAAAAAAAATGTCATTATAATTGGGAATATTTTGTAAAGTGACTTAAGCAATTATATGTACAATACTTTACTAATATACATAATACATAGCAGTCGTAATAAAAATAGCTATAATTATTTTCCATATTGATTTTTTATAAAAATAATTAATTTAAAAATATACTTATCAAATTTATAAATCATACATTAAAATTAAAATAAAGATTGTTTCATTTTAGTGTCTTTTTGAGGAATAGTTAAATTTAAAATCATGAATTTATATATTTTTTAATCATTACCATTTTATTATTTTCTAGACTATTTAGTGAAAAATGGAAAAATGGATGAACCATCTGCATGTCATATATTTAGACAGATTGTTGAAGCTGTTAGTTACTGTCACAAAAAAAATATAGTTCATAGAGATTTAAAAGCAGAAAACCTTCTTTTAGATATTGATAATAATATAAAACTAGCAGGTAAAGAAATATGCATATTGTATTATTTTTAACACGCTTTTATTAGTTTTTAGTATTCATATTAAAGTTTTAAAAAACATGAATTAGTGATGATTGAGACAAACAAATTTTGTATTATTTTTAAAATGGGCTTCTTTATATTATTTTTATTATAGTTAGTTATTAGTTTTATAGCTTATAATTATCTTCAGTATGAAGTAACTTCAAAGTAATACTGATACTACGTTTTGAAAAAAGTTTTATCAAAACTACATTTGATTAGTTAGTCCTTTTAAGTGTAATCAAGATAATTTAATTATATGTATATATATAATATGATTTATCTATTATTGACTACTAGATTTACTTTAAAATAATAATTTTTTTTTTTTTTATTTGGCTTATAATGGTAATATATATTTCCCTTATAATGGTACCCAACTTACCTCTTTTAAATGAGAATATACATAATAAATTAGCTTTTTAACAAAGATAGTTGTCTAATTGAGAAAATAACTGGTCGATAACTACTCTTGGACCAATATTTTGAAATTTATTAACACTATTGATATCTGGGCAGAAGAAGGAGGGAAAATATCTAGTGATAAAACAACATAACCTGCACATTGCCTCTAGGCACATTTAAATATAACTTGCAATATACTGGTTTAAAAGTTGTAATCTACTAGTAATTTTTTTTTAGTATGGTTATTTTCTAATAATCTATTAAAATTAACAAATTAATAAACTAATAATTAGTAGTTTATAATAGATTATATAATCTATTAAAATATCTGTTTTTTGATTTAAAAAAATTACCTCTGTATAAAAACAGATAGTTCTTGGATATTTGATAATCAAGACATAAATAATACTAAACTACATAAAAATAAAATTTCAAAATTATTATTATTTTATAATTTTAGTGGTCAACAATGACAAATCAATCATCCTGTATACCTTAAATTATAGATGCTAATGTAACAAATATTGTAGGGTTAATCTTTTTAAAATTATGTGCATTAATTTAATTTTTCTATGAAAAATTTAATTAACAATACTTGTTGAAAATATGATTTTTATGTCTTTAAAATAAAATCTGTTTTATTATTTATGTACAAAAAATCCTAATCCTTCTAAATTCATTGATTAAATATAATAAAAAACATAATATAGATTTTGGATTCAGCAACCATTTTCATGAAGGAAAGTTACTTTCAACGTGGTGTGGCTCTCCTCCTTATGCTGCTCCAGAATTATTCCAAGGACAAGAGTATGATGGTCCTAAAGCTGACATATGGGTACTTGTATTTTTAATTTACTTTTATTGTTACCTCTCAGTTCACTTTGATTAATTTAAGAATACCGATTGCATTAACTCATTTTTAATCTAGAGCTTAGGTGTTGTACTATACGTATTAGTTTGTGGATCTCTTCCATTTGATGGAAATACTTTGAAAGTTCTTCGTGCAAATGTTCTTTCTGGAATGTTTCGAGTGCCATATTTTATGTCAGCTTGTAAGTAATTCATTTATATATATATAATAGAATGTTACTGTTTCTTGATAAATGTAATCTAGGGTTATATATATATATTTTTTTTATTTATTTTATTTTTTTTAAGTTTTACAATTTTTACTTAAATTATTTTAGCATGTGAGCATTTGATTCGTCACATGTTAGTGATAGAACCCGAGAAGAGGCTAAGTCTGAATCAAATTGTTTCCCATAAATGGATGAAACAAGTAAAAATTAAATACCATTATTTTACGTGTTATTGTTATTATTTATTATTGATGTATTTTTTATATTTTATTCATTTAGTTGGCTGAACCAACTACTGAAATACAAGTTGATGTTAACCCAATGATGAACACTGCTATTATAGAACTTATGTTACAGTTACCTGGATTAGATAAAGATATGATAGTAAATGTAAGTATTTTGTATCTATATAATTTTTTAAAAATTTTCCAAAATTTGTAATCTTAATATTGTTAAATCTTATGTTTATTCCCATGTACTCAATTATTAGAATTAGGAATTCAATTAGTCAAAAATAATTATCACTCATTTAACATAATTCCATAATATAACTTATGATTAAATATTTTGTTGATAGATATAATTTAATGTGTAACAACTATAGTACAATTAAAAATTTTGAATTCAAATGAGAAAATGTTAATGTTTTTTATTTATTAATTTATATTATAAAAATAAATTACTTCAACTATGTTATTTTGACATTTATAACATAATTTCAATATTTCATAAGTATTTTTAAGACATTGCGAATAAAAAAAGAAGGCCTAAGTGTGAGGTAGACCATCCTATCTTTAATTTTGAATTTTAAATTTAATCTGGCCTAGGACAATCCCTATTTAAAATACAATTATTTTTAATGGTATCAAAATATGCTAGAAATTGTGTTTATTAAAATAAATTTTGAAAAATCCTTGTATTTTATGAATTTTAGATTTTAAAAATAATTAGAATATGCTTAAAATGAAAAAAACTTGATATAGAGAAATTTTCTTCAGAACATTATAAGCGAGAAGCTTATCAAATTTTTTATTGAATACTAGTTATGAAAAATTATTAAAAGCTGCCAAAAATTGTAAAAGTAAAAAATTTGTTGGCTAATGTTTGATGAATTTTATAAGCCAAAATACTTGTTATTATCTAAAATTAAATCAAATTCATTAAACTTGGCTTAAGTAATGCTTTTTAATTTTTGTATTTTTTCAATTAGATTTTTGAAAAGTACATAAAAGACAATAGTTTAGATGATATTCTAATTATTTATTTAAGTGAATAAAGTATTAAATTTTAATAAACAAAAGAATAATTTAAAAAATGATCTTTTTCTTATGTGTGTTTAAACTTTAGGCTTGTACTGTATACAATTATTTATTATTTTTATTAATATTTACAGTCTGTACAGCAAAAAAAATTTGATCATGTTAGTGCAATTTATCATTTACTTGTTGATAAACTAGACTCAACATTCAATGACCACTGTAATAGTAATAATAACCCACAATTTACTGATGCATCAGGTAAGATTTTTAATGTTTATTTTCCTTAAATTATGAAATTTATTAGTATTGTTACGAACACAACATACCAAAAAATAAAATAAAACTGATTATTATACCTAGCACAATTCAAGGTAATATAATTTGGAGGAAGATATTTACAATGGACTTGCGGCCTGAGTCGTAGTACTTTTCTATTTCAATAGCAACTAAAGATTAATTAAATTACTAGTAATAGACATTTTCGAATATTTTAAACATCTATCAATATTTTAAAATATCTATTTGTATATTTTTTAAATAGTTTATTTTTAGCATAAACTATGAATTATAACTATTGAATATTATTTATAACTAATAATATTGTCAATTCTTACTTCTGTATATAAGCAGAAATAAATACTGCTCTCTTTAAAAATCATATTAATTAGTATTGTTATCACTAAAATATTTGTTTGAATTTCTTTTAGTCAGTTATTCATGGGTCAGTTTAAAAATGTTTTTGTTATTTTTAAATTAAATATTTAATTACCTTGCTTACGATACATTAGTGCATCAGTAATATAAATATTTAGTAATTATTAACAATTTAATAATAATATTTCATGTTAATAGTAAACAAATTTTTATTATCTTTTAGTTTTAATATATAACTAAAATCATATCAATGACCTTGTAAAAACCATTTTTTTGTAAAAAAAAATTATATATACAGAGTGATTCTTTTATTGCTAGCCATTTAAATTCTCTTAAAATATGAAGTTTTTTCATAATTTTTTTTCGATTTTTGTTAGTTATATATATATATTTCTATTTATCTGTTATAAAATAATTTTTAGATTCACCCGTTATATCTATTGGGGATGTCATTTTTATTTTTTTTAACAGCAACATACATATTAAACTAACTTATAAAATAGAAAATGATCTAATTAAGAAAACAACTGGTCGATAACAATTTTTGGACCACTACTTTGGAAGTTATTCTCATTTTTAGGATGAATGCGGCCTTGAAAGGCTAGTGATCAAAATAGCAGCATCCACTCCTCATTTTCTTAATTAGATCATTTGCTAGTTAACTAGCCATTTCATTACGTATGTTTCCATTTTAAAATATAATGTGGACACTCTTGTAAGATATAAGGAATGGACTTAAAAATTATTTTATAACAGATAAATAGAATTGCATATATAACTAAGAAAACAAAAAAAAATTCACAAAAATATGATTATATTATTTATATTATAATGTGTTATTTTAAGATAAATTGAGTGGCTAGCATTAAAAAAATCACTATATATATATATATATATATATATATATACATGTGAAATTTAATAACTTCAATACATTTTTTTTTTTTATTATGATAGAAGAAAACGATTCAACAGTTCAAATTAATTCCAACGTCATAGAGAATTTGCCTTTGTATTCAATGTCACTTTATGGACAAGATGGATCAATCTATGACAGCCAGCAGTTAGAAAAAGTATAAATTCCATATAAATTTGTTTAACTTAATTTAAATTCATTAATACTTCTTGGTAGCGTTTAGCTTTTGTCTTATTTGGTGAAGTGGCTAAACTAGACATTAAATTGGCGTGACTAAAAAGTGCTCTTAAATAAAATTGAACAAAAATATAATTCATTTATAATCAATTTGAATAACTTGCCTAAAAGAATACTATAAAGACATATGATTTGCTCGAAGTATCTCGAATAAAACCCATTAGTTTTTATTATAACTTCATTCATAAATTAATAACTTTTTTTTAAGTATGGAGATGTGGACATCAGTGACACTGCTACTTCTAGTAAAGTACAAGATCATCCTAATCCTGTGACTACACGTCGTCATACGGTTGGCCCTGGAAATGGTCTTATAACTCAAGTACTTTTTAATAAAAAAATTTTTGTTTTATAAATATATGTGCAATAAATAATAATTTATATTTTATAGATTATGGAATCGACTTATATAACAAACCTTCAAACTGGGTGCAATGTTAATGTGTTACCAAACACCAATTTACCAATGAATATTCCATTAGTTGAATTTCAGTCTCCTAAAAACTTCACTATTAAAGATCAGCATTTATTAAAACCTCCACCAGTTATGGGAGCGAGTGAGTATACATTATACTAATACCCTAGAAGCATTTTTACAAAATCTATAAAACCCAAATGATGCATTTGTTTGAATTTTAATAAATTTTGTTTTTTTAGATAGTAATTTTGGTAGACGTGCATCCGATGGTGGTGCTAATTTACAAATGGCCCAACATGTTGCTTGTACATTCAGTGAACCAAGCAGTAAAGAAGATTTGAAAAAAGTAATTAGTTCAATTATACTGCTCTATTTTTCTACACAAATGTTTACATATATATATATCAATTAAAATTTAATATTTATTTATGTTTAACTCAGGAAAAAATTGATACAACCGATATCAGAAATGTGATGATGGATCAAACTAGTAAAAGAAATTTGTTGCCTGATGAAAATACTAATTCAGTTAGCTCCTCAAGGTAACAGAATATTTTTAATATATTAGTAATTATTTTTATATGAACACATTTTAATTCAATAATTCTTCTTTATTTTCATTACTCAATTTCAAATTATTTTATTTATTTATAGTCGATTTTCTAAAGTTATGTGTAGTACATCCAGGCATGCTATTGGTATAATAGATGATAGCCAAAATCAACAGAGCAATTTACCCAATACCAGAACCAGACGTAGTGGTGTACTCACAGTTATGGATAGACCTCCAGGTACTTTTTATTTATTTTTTCATTAGTTATTGTTCTGTCAATTCATTGATGAAATGTTAATTATTAACTCTGAAGAAAAAATTGAGATAGTTTTTTTTTTTTTACAATGATATTGTGCTCAATACGGAATATAATATTCATGTTGTTGTAAGTACTCGTGTGTCATTAGTTTAGTGTGTGTTGTAAAATAAAAATATAGGAAACTGAACTAATCAGTTCGATTGTTATGCTTTAAATTATTTGACAATATCTTGAAAACTAACAAATACTGAGTAAACAATACAATCATTATTGTTTCCAAAAAATTAGTTGAATCTCTAAATAAAAAAACCCAGCACAGGGGAGTCGCGGCACAGTGGTGACGTGGCATAGTTGGATGAATTATAATGATATCTGACAGTGATTAAAATCACTATCAATAAAAAAACGCTTCAATGCAAATATTTAGTGTTTAATTTTAAAAAATTGGAGGATTATTCCAAAAGCTACATGATCTGCTAGTTCCTTATTAATATCCTGATAAAGATAAAGTATGTCGAATGAAAGAGGGATTATTAAAAAATATTATTTCTCATAAAAATATTGTGTTGATCCATACACTTTTCAATAAGTTATAGCATTATACAGTTAAAAATAAAATCAAGAATTTTACACAAAAATAGCATTCAGTAGCCATTTTCACCACGAAGACAAGTCCAGAGGTTAAATTTTTTTTTTCATAATAAAGTACATTACATTATCTTTAATTTAAGATACATATAAAAGTGTCAGATTTTCCAGAACACTTTCAAAAATTAAGTTGAAAAAGGTATACTTTCTATATGCATTTTTATGTTTTGAACCCTCCTGTATTAAGGGAAATGGTCCGATTTAAAAAAAAAGTATGTCGTATGAAAGAAGTATATAAATATTATTTCTTATAAAAAAATTGTATTGATCCAAACATTTTTCAAAAAGTTATAACATTTTAAAGTTAAAAATGTAAAATATAAAATCGAGAATTTTAACACAAAAATAGCATACAGTAGCTATTTTAACCGTGAAGACAAAATGAAGTTCGAAATTTTTTTTTTCCATAATAAAGTATATTACATTAGCTTTAATTTAAGATATATATAAACGTGTCAGTATTTCCGGAACACTTTCAAAAGTTAAGTTGAAAAAGTTGTCATTTTAAATCCCCCCTGTGGCCAGGTAAAGGGTTAAATTTATAAAAAAAATATACCAAATGATAGGTAAAGACATCAAGCATCTATAAAAAAAAAAAATTATATTGATATGTTCATTTTTAAAAAAGTTATGGTAGTTTTCAGTAAAAAAAATTGAAAAAATTTCGAAAATTAGCGATTTTAAAATTTGTAATTTTTTTGGAGGTTTCCCCCATTTACGGGGAACGAGGAAAATTTTTTCAATTTTTGAGGGTAATGTCTTTGACTAGATACGATTTGTGATCTTTTGACGTATCATTGAAAGAAATCGGTTCGGTGAGAGCTGAGAAAAAGTGGTAACAGACACAAAAAAAAAAAACATCATAGTAAAATTAATACCTTCTCAGCTTCGCATCGAAGCTAAAATAAATTATTTCTAATAATTTAGTTATATATCACTATCGTAAAGTATAATACCATAGAGTGGTTTTCAAAACCGCTATTTCAATGTGTAATATACTGCCATATGCAAAAAGACGATGCTCCTTATTTTTCAGAGGAACTGTGTTACTTCTTATTTTGATTTCATATGGACTATTCAACATAAAAAAATATTTATCACTGTAAATCTACAACATCTCATGTTAAAATTAGTATTCATACTAAAAGTAGAAAATATTAATTTATTAACAGTATTGTAAGTATATTTGTCTGACAATATCTGTAGTGTCACCCATTAGTGAATATTTTATTTTGTACACATTTATTTTTTACTTTAGTTGTGAAATAACTTTATTTCTGTGTAGTTGATTATGATCAAGTAGATAGTTAAAAGTTTTTGCTTGGCGTTTTTATTTTTTTAATCCATTTAATATTAGTACTTTTATTTAAACGTGTGGTTTGCATGGCTTTTTTTTTGTTTTTCAAAGTTATTAGTCCTGAAGTGGTACGTGAAGTAGAAGCACGCATGAATCGAGAATACATACCACCTCCATTACCAGTAGTCAGCACTCATAGACATAACCATCGTGTGTCTCAAATTTCAGTTTTACCTACAGTACAAGAATTACACCGACATTCAGGTATCATAGATTTTGGTTGAAAAAAAAATATTCAATTTCGTACATTATTATTGGTCTATATTTGTTTAAAAAAAAAAAAACAAATTTTCTATTGAAATTTTGTTTTATTGTCAGGTCGTGAAAGTTTAAAAGACGTAAGTATTCATTCATCATCTGAAAGATACAGTCCCGTGCGAAGAACAAGTGAGCCGGTTGTTACATTTGGTGAACCAAGTCAAGAACCCAATATACGTAACATACAGCAGGAACATATTCAGTTACAAGTAAATATTTTGCAACACGTAAAAGAATGATTGGTTTCAATGTCAGTCAAATTTCTTGTTATGTTTTACAGCAGAAGTTAAGTGAAAACACCTTAGATATCTGGGGTCACGCAGAATTACAAATGCTTCATACCTATCATTTACAAAGTCTACAGACATTAACTGATCAGCCCCCCTATTTAAATATGAATGCAAATCATCAGGGTTAGAAATTTCTTTGCGTATAAATAATAATTTTATTAAAATTTTATTATATTTCACATTGTTTGCTATTTTTCACCAATATTATTTATCAAAATGATTTAAAATTACTTGATATTTGAAATATTTGCAGGTAATTCATACCTACTTAGTCAACATCTGCAAAATTTAAACATACATCAAGGACCCGTTGTAGGAACTTCTCAAACTCAAGGTATAATTAAATACTCTGATAAATTACAAATTTTAGTATAACCATTGAACATTTATTGATGATCATTAATTAATAGGTTCGATCACTCAAGGTACTCCCAATGTTATAGCAAATCACCAGATATCTGTGCCATTGGATTTGAGGACCAATCAAAAAATCAATTCTCAACCCACCATAGTTGTAGAAGACAACTCTTCAGGTAATTCAATTGCTAAAAATACTGTAAATTTATATTAAATATTGATTTATTATGATACATGTATGTTAAATCTTTCTTTAGATTTAAACAAGCCAAAATTGCCATTAAAACCGGATGTATCTTTAACCATTACAAATGAAGATGGCAACATGATGGAAGTAGATACTCTGCATATGAATTCTAATAGAACTATTACTAATATGACAAATGGAGATATTAAAGAAACTCGTGTTGAAGATCATGATAATTATCTGAATGACATTGACTTGTTTGCTTCTGACGACAAAGCAAACATAATACCGACTATTGATACTTGTAGGTTTTTGAAAAATGCTCCACTTTTTTCTGATTATATTCTTAAAAGAACTGCAAGTGATGCTTTTGTTGTGGATTTGTCTGACTTTTATTCCAACTTCACTTCGGGTAATATTTTAAATATTGTCAAGTATCTTATATCCTCCAATATTAGGTCTTGGCCTGTTGTCGACCGACAAAACGTTTTACAGTTCCCAACAGGATTACAAATACAGTTAGAAGTGTGTTCCAGTGACACAGGAGCTAATTCATATTTAAAAATTCACCGACTATCTGGAGATACGACTGAATACACCAATATTTGCCATAGATTAGTTGAAGACTATTTACCATGTAACGAATGATTATCTTTATAATTGAAAATGTTACTATTTTAATTTTTGATGGCTGTGCTACTTTTGTGAATGCAATTAATTATTAATTAATATTAGTCATTAGTTTTAATAAGAAAAATTATCAAATAAATAAATATATATATATATATATAGAACATACATGTATATATATGCAGTATATACACATACATGTTTACGTATAAATTTATGTACATTTTATAAAGAGTACTAAAATATGTGTGTGTATATATACATATTATATTGTGAATTATATAAATTATTAATTTAAATTTTTTTGAAATTACTGTCATGATGTTGTTAGTGATACAACTTGATTTATAATTTAATTTACCAAACTTTTTCAACAGCATAATTTATTATACTATTTTTATACATACAAATATATACATATATATATATATAATGACCAATAAATTTATAACATAGTTTTTTATGATATCAGAGAGCTGTTGATAACGTATTTTTGTAAACCAAAAAAGAAGGAAGATTTTGTTTTTTCAATTGTTAATTTCAGTCAAATGGCGTATATGCAAAATCAGTCCTATTTGACTTAATTTGTCTTAAAGTTTTCACACATTACACTTCACAATATTTTACTATATTCTAACATGATAGTTGTTGAGTAATGTTTTGAACTCATTTTATTTTTGAAACTTTAATATTAATTTTCTTTCTTATTATTATAAATATATTGTTATTATTATAACATTTTTTAAATTTAATCAACTACTATTATTACTTTTTTAGCTGCTTGCTAATTTTATGCATTACCATTCCAATAATTTAGTAATAAGACCATTTTAGATTTCTTTTGTTAGTATAAGAAACATATGTTGTTGATTTGCTTGTGAAGCTTATTTTTGTTTTGTTTTGTTTTGTTTTGTTATCATTATTATTATTATTATTATTTCTTAACATGGTTTTTTTTAATTATTGATCAAAATAAGATCTTTAACATCTTCATAAGGAAATTGTGTATAGTCTATTGTTGTGCACTATGTGTTAATATGAGATTATGCAATTGTTAAATATTTTATTTTAAAACTATTAAAAAAAAAATATTAGCTACTTATAAGTCTAACCCTACAAGGATAATATATTATTGTTTCACCATTACATTCTATTGATTTTAATCACAATATTTCAATTCAATATTTTAATAATAAACCATTTGACGGCGTGCAAATTCTTTATGAAATAATATTTATAAACATGTATTCTTTTGTTAACCATATCTCATAAATACTATTTTTGTTATTCCATATTTTTAGCCATTTTATTTAGTATATATTATTGCAAATAATATTATCATCAATTAACTGAATTATTTATTAATACACAGTATATATAACAAAATAATCACTACTTTAAGCTCAAAAATATGGGAAAAATGATTTCATGTTAAAATATTGTTATGGTTATTTTAACTATATAATGTTATACTTGGACAACAATGTATATGCTTTAAGCTCAAATGTTGCAACCTCATGTTATAATTTGTTGTTATTAATTTTATTATTATTTATACATTCCAATGTTTAGTTATTAGTGTAGAATAGAAACTTATCGTTAATTATAATAGATCATTTTTAGTGTTAATTATTCAGTTTTGTAGTAAATTACAATCGTACTAATTATATAAGTACATAATTTGTAATAAGAACAAACTTGTACAATAATATTAAATGTAAAATACATTCTATAGAGTATTTTGAATTGGAAAAGTAATCATCGAATGCTCAAACAATAACCACAATAGATCGTTGACTAAAAGAAAAATATTTTTTATTTTATGAAATAGTGGGAGAAAATAATTTTGCTAATACATATCAGGATACTGGTAATACGATCTTTTTATTTGTTGAAAGCTTAGCAATTTTAATTTTGATGAGATAAAAAAAAATTAAAAATAGGGAGGAAATTAATTAAAGGCTAAAGGTGTGGAGATCAGCTCTTGAAGAAAAGGGTTTAAGAATAAGTAAGACAAAATATATAGAGTACGAGTTTAACAAAGGAGAACACGAGTTAAGTGAAATGAGGAGATCAGTGACAATAGGCACGGACGTGATAGAAAAGGTGGAAAGTTTTAAGTATTTAGGATCAGTTGTGCAATAGAGCGGTGGTATCGACGTGGATGTAAGACACAAGATTAAGTGAGGGTGGTTGAAGTGGAGAGAAGCGCCTAGTGTCTTATTCAATAAAAGAATTCCAATGAGGCTGAATGGTAAATTCTATAAGACTGTACTGAGATCATCTATGATGTATGGTTCAGAATGTTGGGTGGTTAATAAGAAAGTAGAGCAGAGAATGAGTGTAGCAGAGATACTATTCAATTCTCAAAACTCAGACCAAATTCACATTAACTCAAATCTTACCATAAAAGAATTTTATTGAACGTTAAAAAACTATAATAGCCTCAGCCTGGGTATAAATGATATACCGTTTTCTTTTATTCATAATATGACATCTAAGTCATAACAATTACAACAGTATCCCCTCTAACTGGAAACATAATATGGTCATTCTAGTACCTAAAACCTGGAAAATATATATTTGATCCCCAAAGTTACTGTCCTATCTCATTTATTAAAACTTTAGATAAGCTCTTTGAAAAAATAATTAACTTCAGGTTAAGATAATTCATTGGAAACTTTCTCTCTCCTCAACAAAACAGCTTCAGAAACTATATAAGTACATATGATTGCCTACACACTATCCATAATGAAATTAATAATTCAATACACAATAAAAAATCAACAGGAATAATAAGTTTGGACATAGCAAAAGCCTACGATATAACATGGAGACACAAAATAGTAAATATATTATCTAAATTTCTATGAAATGAAAACATGCTCAAATACTTAGCTAATTATACTTGTGATTGTACATTTCAAACAAAAATCAGTAATAAACATAAAGAATAAATATTCTCTCCTCAGATAAGAGTTTGACAAACATTCAATCATCTCTCCAAAACACCATAAATAAACTAAAAGAATGGTCTAATGGTCTACCACTAAATCCAAATGTATATTATTAAAAAAAAAAAGTTATAACCAATTTCATATTAATCTCTGTAACATCAAAATTCCCAACTGTAAAGTAATAAAAATCTTGGGGATTACATTTGACCACAAACACAGCTGGAAACATCATGTGAGTTATCTAAAAAAAAATCTGAAACTAAACTCAACCTAATTGCAGACACTCAATAGGGAGCTTCGTTGGGAACATTACTTACCATTTATATATCACTAATTCTTTTTAAATTGGAGTATGGATTCTTTATCTTCGTACACAATGCTGACTTACATTATGCTTTAGGAGCATTCAAATAAAGTCCTATAGTAAGTATATGTAATATATCTGAAATTACTCCTCAAAATTATAAGAACAGGTAACACATTAAAATTTAGCGTTATACGAAAAACTAATGATTTACTTACTCAGTTATATTAATAAAACTCTGAAAGAAAATAACATCAATATAGAAGGAATGATCCCAAAGACATTTAGAATATTCCAAGTATGGTCAGATATATTAGGTATCAACTATGAACTACACCACTTGCCCAAACTCTCAACCCCTCAAATAATTTACAATACCAAATTTATAGAATTTATGAACAATTTACAAAACTGGAACAAATTATACACTGATGCATCTAAGATTGAAAAAGGAATAGGATTATCTATAGTACTTGAAAACTCCTATAAGACCTATAAGTTACCAAAACATTGCTCAATATACACAGATGAAACATGCTATACTGAAGGCACTTGAATATATTCAAGAAAACAATATCGGAGACTCAATTATCTTAACCCATTCTCTCAGTGCACTTACCAGCATAGATAATCCATTTAACTCAAACTTACTGGTCAATTTAATAAAAAACACAGTCCACTCAATACACCACAAAGGTATATTTTTAAAAATGATACGGGTTCCAGGACGCTCATTAATCCAAAGAAATGAAAAGGCTGACATACTAGCAAAAAACCAAACGCCCAAAAATGACCGCAACTCGACATACCATACAGACACCAAGTCATCATTGACAAGCTCAGAATTGGACACTTTTGCCTAAGTCATAGGTATTTAATGAACAACAGTACTCCACCAATATGCGATATTGCAAAGTCACTAACTCAGTCAAACATATTTCTACAAATTGTCAAAAATATCAAAATCAAAGAGAGGCACATGGGATACCTCACCACCTCTCTCAATCGCTAAAACAAGACCTTAACTCTGTACGAAAGATGACAAAATTCCTCAAGACTACCGAAATATTTGACTTAATATAATATTTGTATAACTTATGCATAGTTGTAAAAAATACTTTTAAAAAGTATTTTAAATAATACTCAAATATTTAAAAAAAAAATGTTTTTAAAATACTATTTGAATACTTTTCATACAAAAGTATTTGAGTAATACTCAATTACTTTACAAAAGTATTTCAAATACTAAGAATACAATTAAAAAATAATAATAATGTTTTTATTTTAACTAAGAGCAAAAGGTTCCACCTAAATAATTACCAAGAGGGTAATTTGAGTCAAATATTGAGTACTCTTAAATTAAGAGAATTCATTTATTATTTTCGATATTTTTTGTTAGAGGTAAATAAAATTAATTATTGGAGACTAATCAGTGAAAAAAATAAATATTAGTACACGTGTAAAAACCTGTAAAGTATGTCTTATTGACAATAGAGTAAATCATTTGAACCTGCAATAGGCTATTGTAGGTTCAACTGATGTATTAAAAATAGATGTATACATAATAGCATTTAGATAAGCACAATAATTATGTTATACTATAATGTAACATATAAAATAACAGAGAATTATTCTCAATTTTCATTTTGACTGAGTTTAATTTGCTTGCTGTGTTACGGTTAGCAAATTAGAAAAAAAAAGTATATTAATAGTACTGAATATTAAACAGTATTAAATACTAAATAATTGTATTTAAAATACTACTCAGATACTTTTTATTAAATGTATTTAAAAATACTATTCAATACCAATGAAAGTATTTGAATACTTTTATTCAAATACATTTACTTAAATGCTTTACGCCTTTGAACTTATGTGCTAGTGACCAACTTTTATTCATTCTCATTGTTAACCTATTCTAATTATTTAAATAGCTATTTTATTGTGATATACACTTGGTATGCATGTAATCATGCCCAATGTTCTTTGTTGCTGCAGCCTTTATTTCAATAAAAATATACATATACATAATTTTGTACCATTTCAAATAAAATATATTCAATTTAATAATACATTGAATATTGAAAATATTTTCAATATTCATTAGAAATATATAATTTAGATATCTAAAATTTGTCAACATCTCAATTTTTTTATTTTAATTATCATTTTTCCAACAAGGATGCACTTATTTAAAATCCAGATTATTATAATTACACTTAGAATTATTATTTACTGCTTTTTGAGTTGAAAGTAAAAAGTAATCTTTTTTATTTTTTTCTGAATTTCAATTATGAATATATTTTTATTTGGTCAACTATTAAATAATTTTTTAGAAGTCAATTAAAAAATGTTGATACTATGGAGAGCAGAACATATATTATAGTAAAATAAGTATTTATTCTTCATAAAATAGTAAAAACTCGCAATCTTGAACTTATTACAACTTAAATGGGATAAAGTAATTTACCAGAACACACTCTTTCTATTAAGGATATCCATGAAACTGTCAAAGGCTTCTCAACTGATTCTGGAATGTAATTTTTGATGGTAGCCCACCAAGAGTCATTTACCAAAGTAGCATTCAATACGACCGTGTTAGATTTAGATTTATCTAAGATCTCCAATTTAACAATGCCTGTAATAAATATTCACTTTAATTTATAACCAAAATTTAAAAAATAAAATCGCACTGGAAAATTTTTTTATATGAGGCTAAATATCATTTCCTTTATTTAAAATTATTTCATGAAACAATACAAGTTTTTGTTTGCAGAGATACTTAATTCATAGTCATGCCAATGAAAATATGCTTACCAGCAGTTAAACTAGGTTTTAAAAACCATATCAGAGTTGTATATACTGGTAATATCTGCAGGGTGTATCTAGAACGAATCAATAATCCTCTGATCATCACTAGTAATATTCGCATCTAAAATATCAAATTAAAAAAATTTATTTTGTCTAAATGGTTAGAATTATATTTTATTTACGTACAACAACAAAGACAACATAATAAATTAATGTAGTTGGTAACAGGAACAAAAGTATAGCAAAAGATATTGTGCCAACATAAAGTTGCTGAGTGGTATATGGAGTCGTTCTCCCCGGTTGCGGATTACAGCTCCGGCCAACAAATAACTTTGCTAGTATTGTCAAACTCTTCCACTGTAAGTTGTATAGCCTAAAAAATAACCAATTGTTTACATAATGTTAAAAATAATATTTTTACGAGGACTATTTTTTAAGTATTTTGTCATTAGGATATATTTTTACTAACCATGCTGCATATACATAAATACAATACACATGAAAGGTAACTAAAGCAAGAACATCTTCCAATATAGCAATTTGGAATGATAATCCAAATTTTCCAATAAACATATATAAATTATATACAATTTCTAAAAGAGGTCGACAAATAACTGAAAAATAATTGTTTATAATTATTTAATTTTAAATAGTGGTAAAATAAATTGTAAAATTATATCTTAATATTGACATGTAAAAATAGATAATTTAATTGTGAAACTCATTAAATTTACCTAAAAATGACCACCATATATTGACTAGATAAAGAAAACAAGTTCCTAATAAGCTATTTAGAGGATCGTTGAGTTTCAATCCTGCTGGACTACCCATTAGCCACTGCAGAGTACCTTGAAGAGCCTTGATTATATACTAAATTTAAATTTAAAAATATATTCATGAATGTCAGTATCATTATTAAGTTATGATTTTAATAGACTTGTTTGAAAAACTCACATAAGAAATATTAGATAGAAAATAAAAAAGTTTTTCAGATGATGTAAACATTGCAACAAGCATATGGAGACACATAGTTCCTAGGATAGCATCAAATAAACAAGATAATAAATAATTCATGGCTTTAGTTTTAGAAGTTTTGTTATTTTGTGTAAGGTTTTCCTCAATAAGCCACACTTGGTTTTTTACTACGGCCAGAATGTATTGCAACAACGTTAATCTCAACAATGTTGTCTGTACAATTTTAATATTAAAAAAAGAAATAAATTTCTTCAAAATTATCAATAAATATGGCGTAAAATTTATAAACAAGTTTAATTGACACGATTCAAAAGTTTTAGATTTTTTTATACTAGCCAATCTTTTGGAGAGCATAATAAAACATACATAACTACTAGTGTTTTTTCTGTTCTCTAGTAATACTTCATAGTTACAAAATTTCAAAGGATCATAAACAATGAGCACAAAAACATCTTCAGTTTTTCCAGATGAACTGAGATTAATGGATATTTTTCCATCGACTTCAGTAATACATAAATTAATCTGCTGCTGCAAACATTCTTTATGTTTTATGCAGAAATTACATTGATTTCTTAGGAAATGTCCTAACGTCTGCACTTCAGTGTCTACACTAAAACCGTCTGTACTAAACTCGTTGAAAATAAAATAATAACTAACGTTGTCAACTGATCTGATAAAACCCATTAATGGATGATAGTTAAGAGAGGAATCCAATAAAGTATTTGGAAAAAACACAACTCGTTTCTCGGTCATCATTAATCACCAATTAAACTCTGTCACAGTTTTATTGTAAATTCCACTCAGTATTAACAGTAATTTAAAAAATTATTTACACGACATATAACATTGTTTCGAGGACGCTAAATAACATTAGCGCAGAATTAAATAGTTTTCGAAGTATAACTTTGAATGTCTTTTGGTGTCAAATTCAATAGTTACAAATTTCGCTCAAAATGATTAATATACACTACAGATAGTTATAATTTTTAATCAGTGATAACGATATGAACGATGGAAGAAGAATGGGAGCTAGGTACTATTATCAACACTTATCTATGGTTCGTAATCACAGTTATATAGACAGGTTTGGCATTTTGGTTAATGAGTTGAACCGTTATTGATATAGTGATTGAACTATGCTACTTGACGCAATCTAGTAAAATTACTAAAATAACTAATTCTCAATAAATTGATTGCACTGTTAGAAATTCAAAATACTTTTTTCAATCATATGTTAATAAGTATAAATATATATTATTTGTATTGACTAGATGAAACAAAATATTACAAAACTTAAACACTAAGTTAATCAATGAAATGTCATTTCATTTGATATTATATAGTCAAACACTACTGTTGCCAATTCAACTTTATTTTGTTTAATAATATTTAATTTTTAAATAATATACCTTAAAATAAATGTACATTTTTTTTGAAGTACCACAAGATGAAATTAGAGATCTTGAACGGTAAGAGTTTTATAGACAAACTTTGGTACCGGAAAATAGTGTTTTAAATAAAAAACATTTTTCAGAATTTGGTATTTTAACTATTATACTTTATTAAGTAAAACAATTCTTCTGCTAGTACTCCAATATTTACCCCAAAAACTTATATAAATGAACCTTCTTGTTCTTAAAAAAAATTATATTAGAATTTCTGAGAACGATGTATTATGATTATAATAATTTATCATGATATTGATGTAATTTCCTTGCATTTATTTTATAATCAGTAACACAACTAGAGTAGCAGGGACTGCCAATCACAATTCAATTAGGTTCCTATTTTTTCTTAAATTTTACTAAAAATATGATACATGCCATCTTTTTTCTAGAGAGATATTTATTTATGATCTCTATCCACACTAGTTGGATTACTGTCCATAATAACTAAATGTTTTAATAATTTTTATTTATATCAGAAAATTCTGCCAAATATAAATGTTAAAAAAGAACATGCTTTATAAAAGATATATTTGATAATTTTGTCATTCAAACACAGTATTAAATGTTACAAGGAAAAAATTGAATATTTTATTAAAACCCAACCCAACCGATTGGTAGATAGTGTTTAATTCTAAGAAATTGGTAGATAATTACAAAAGCAACATCAACTTCTATTTCCTTAAATATTTTCAGATTAATAATTCTTAGATTCAAACATATAATATATAATTTTTATAATTAATCGTTTTCAAATTATTATTGATATTGATTTTTAATATGTTAGATTTAATAATTTTTAACCTACTTTTTTTTATTCTTCAAAGTGAAAGTTTATAATTGAAAAAAAAATGAATTTGCCATAACTTTTAGCTCAACTTGCAAGATTGAAGTTTCCATCATGAAATAGAAAAAAATTGACTCTGTATGTTTAATATTATAACATGTATATATTTGAATCTCTCTCTATGTTTAAGTTTATAACGCATATATATTTGGATCACTCTGTATATACAAATTTTTATGACTTATAAATTTATGTTATAAATCTGTAAATTAAAAAACTTAATTATTGCTTCTTCTCTTGAAAAACTGACTATTTTTATTGAAAATAAATTTAGAGGAACTAAATTAAGGTCCCAGTTAAGCTAGGTTTTTTTTATAATTATATAATAATTTTAAAAATACTGAAATTTTCATAGTAAAATGTTTTTACTTTGATATAATTGAATGATAGATGTTTTAAAAAAATAATTACACTTTCCCGAATTGTTTTAAATTTAAAATTACTTAAACAAATTATTAATGATCTTGATAAGGTGACAAATTTTTCAATCCTCCTTTTAAAAAAACGGAGAACTCTTTTCAAGTTTTTTAAAGTTGTTTTTGGGAAAGTGTATAATAAAAAAAAAAATTAATTTAACCATAATTTTTAGATCGACTTGCAAGTTTGAAATTACCATCATTAAATAGAAAAAAAAATGTATTGTTAAGATTAATATATAGTCAGGAAATTTTATAATTACTATTTACGTAAATTTATCAGAAAAGTTCGATTTTTTTTTTCATTTTTATTATAATAGATCCCTTAAATAGAAATCATAATATTCATTACTAATTAACTTTTGGTGTTTAAAAAGATTCTGCAATTGAAATATGCTGAACTAAATTAATTTTAATGATTTACTTTAACTAAAAAAAACATTAAAAAAAGTTGTTAAAAAGATCTATTCAATTGAGCGTATTATAAAATTTGATTATAATTGTAAAAATCCATTGTTAAATTCAGGTAGTGATGAGCAAAACAAGAACAAGACCAAGACTGTCAAAGTCTTGGTCATAGTCTTGTTCTTGATAGCTCAGTCTTGGTCTTGGTCTTGCTTTGCTAACTCAGTCTTGGTCTTGGTTTTGGTCTTGCAAATCTAGTCTTGTTCTTGTTCTTGGTCTTGCTTATTTAGTCTTGTTCTTGTTCTTGGTTTTGCCCATAAAATCTTGTTCTTGTTGTGAGTCTTGTCACAATACTCTTGCAAAATCTTGCATTCATTTATATTTGTAAAAATTTTCTACTTAAAAGGTTTAAATAATGAAGTTATCTACTTCAGTTTGTAAATTCAAATTTAATTTATATGCCATAGGATTTTTAAGTTAGAACTTAATATTAGCATAAACAATATGGATGATTTTTTTATGAATAGTTTGGGGTATTAAAAAAAAATAAACANTTATAGACTGATAGTAGCACACACAAATAGAGTTAAAAAATTAATAAATTACAAAGTAAAATTATTTACTTTTATAGTTGAATACTTTTATCATATCAAATATAATTTGACAATGAATAGTTTATAAATATTAGAAATAAATGATTTTAATTGTTTGTTTGGATAAAGTTATTTAAGCTACTTTTTATTTGCTTAAGGGATTTTTTTTAATTTTTGAGGGTAATACGTATTATAATCATTTGACGTATCATTGAAAAATATAGGTTAAGTGAACGTTGAAAAAATAAATCACAGTCACAATAAACCCACATAGAAAAATAATATTAACATGAATAAGAAATTTCTTCTCACGAGAGAAGACTACAGTAATATTTTTCCTTAATATTTATTGAAGTTATTGAATCTAAATGAGATAAAAAACAAATTATTTGAAAACTTTTTTCTAACTCAAAAAAAATGCAAAATATTAATTTCCTTAGTTTGATTTGAATCTCGTACCCTAAGCTTGAAAGACACAAGTACTTGTTCGTCGCTTTCGTCTGGTTGATAAAAGTCACTATAAAAAAGCAAAAAAATGTATATAAGTTTAACTACTTTTGTCTTATGAACTCTAATCTATGTCAATTAATTGACATAGATTAAAGTTTATGTTTCGAATTTTTTTTTCATAATAAAGTATATAATATAAGCTTTGATTGAAGATTAAATAAAAGTGTTTATATTCCCGGAATATTCTCAAAAATTTAATTCAAAAATCTTAACTTGTGTGCAAAAATTAATTTATTGAATCACCCCTATGGCAGGTTTAGATTCAGATTTTCAAAAAATTGATATCAAATGAAAGAAAAATATCTTAGGATTCAATATAAAAAATAATTATTTTTATTTGTTCATTTTTCAAAAAGTTGCCATAACTTAAATACTTAAAACTGCCATAGTTTTAAGTATTAAAAATTTTTACATAAAAATTACATTTTTCATTAAATTCGACAGCCATTTTCCCATAGAAGAAAAGGTATTGGGACAATTTTTTTTTTTTTTTTTTTTAACTTATAGTATTTATTATAAGATTTAATTTGACATATGTTTAAAGAACGCAGTATTTCTGGAACATTTTCAAAAGTTAAGTTGAAAAAGTTCTACTTTTTATATGTTTAAATTATTTAAACACTTTAAAACTTAAACACAAAAGTATTACCGATTTGGCAACTGTTCATTGCTTTCTTCGCATGATAAAATTGGCAATTTAAACTAACTCAAATTTAAAAATTACTTTTTCAACTTTAAAAAAGTAAAAAAATTTTAATAAGTTTAATTTCTTGTGTCTTATGAACTTTTTTCTATGTCAATTAAATTATATAATATTAATGAAAGTCAGTGTATTGCCCTTATAAGATATTTTAAAATAAAATAAAATACAAAACCTATGATTTTAACACAAAAATAACATATTTTTGAATACGGTAGCCATTTGCACATAGAAGATAGGTCGTCGGGACAAATTTTTTTTTAAATTTTATATTATATGACATAAGCTTTAATTTTATATATGTTGAAAGGACGCAGTATTTCCGGAACATTTTCAAATGTTAAGTTAAAAAAGTGAAAGGTTACAAATATATAAAAATCAAATTAATTGGCCGCAACGAGAAATTTGTAACTTTCATGGCGTTTTACAAAATTATAAGAAAAGGGTCGCCAACCTACTGGGCGAGACAGTATATTGTCGGACCACAGTAGGATTTTTTTTTTTTTTAAAAAATTAACTTTTTTATATTAAAACAATTAGAACAAAAAATATATATTTAATAAACATTAAAGTTGATGTCCGTTGAGTCGTTGATAGTAGATGTACACCAAAACCTCGTGACAGTTGTCACATAACCATATAGATCAGGGATGACCTTATACAAGGCCGTTGCCCGTACCTTATAAACTAGGGGAGTAGATTTTTGAAAGGAAAAAAAAAATACACGAGTCCATTGAAGATGGAACACGCAAAAAAAAGAAAAAACAGATGATGGTTAAGTTAAATTAAGGGGACTTTATTAAGTAAAAAAAAAAAAAAAATTAAGTTATTACGAGGCAAAAAACCGAATGGTCAAAAAACCTCGTCTACAAATTAAAGGGGAACAAAAAGAGAGAGAAAAAAAAAAATAGATATTAATAAAAAAAATAGTTACACCTACACTTTTATTATTAGAGAATACGATGAACGTCTTCGGGTACCCGCCGGCTATTAATCGCAGCATTGCCGCTAAGCACGGCGGGTATACGTCCCAAGTAAGCGACTGGTTTCTGGCAGTTAGGCTTAGCTTGCAAGACGTTGGGACACCCCGGAATAAAATGCACTACGTCACCACATTGTACCAATAATATATTCATCACCCAATAAAAAAAATAGTATCAAACCTATATAAAAAATCACAAAAAATATGGATATAACATGACAGGTGGTCTTGTACACGCCTGTCATGTTGCGGGACCTAAATAAAAAAAATATAAGGACACCTACAAAAAAAATATATAAAAAAAATTTGCAACACGTGCTTATGGCACGGCGCACAAAAAAAAAATAATCAGGCTCAAAACATTAAAACAAAACTTATACATTACCAGCCCCGAAGGGCTACAGAAAATGAGGCAGGCTCAACCGACGCCAATTAAAAAAAAATCACATGATATAAAGAATAGCGGGCACTCACGACAAAAAATATATATAAAATTAAAATGTTGCAGCGCACACAACCAAAAAGAAAAAAACTTACGCTACGGACGGGAAATAGTGCGACCAGTTCCGACTATGGCTATTCCCCGACAACCCGTCCGACGTTTGACCCGGCGGTCTGTTGGCGACAACACGGCTAGCCTTTGGAGTAGGGGTCAAAAAAAACCTAATACCCAGTGCCGGAAATTACTAAGAACAATTTAAATAAGGCGACAATGTATGCGGTGAGCAGTGCAAATGACGTTCAAGATAGGAAAGGAGAGGGGTGAATGTACACACAAATGCCGTCCATTAACCGGTCTGAAGTAGTACACAGCTGACTATCTCGCACGCGCATAAACAAATCACAATACCTTATCATAATAATATTACTGACAAACGCCGTCGCAGTCCGCATTCGGCTCAAAACAAATATATATATATATACAAATAGACAAAAAAATAACAAGATACTTTTGTCACGTTACAAAAGTTCACTACTTTTTATACGTATGTTTCAAGTTTTGAACATCAACTGTATAAAGGGAAATTATCCAATTTAAATAAAAAGTATGATAAATGAGGGAAGTATAAATAATGTATTTAGAAAAAAAAATTTGTGTTGATACATACATTTTTTTGAATAGTTATAGTAATTTAAAGATGAAAATTTTAAATCGAAAAACGAAAATGTTAACACAAAAATAGCATTTTTTTAAATACGGCAGCCATTTGCACATAAAAGATAATATTTCGGGACAACATTTTTTTTTAAATTTATAGTACGTAACATAACCTTTAATTTGATATTTGTTTAAAGGACGCAGTATTTCTGAAATATTTTCAAAACTTAAGTTGAAAAAGTTGAGTTTTGAGAAAAGTTGCTATTTGGAATCCCTTCTTGTGGGTAGGTAAATGGTCAAATTTTCAAAAATATTATATCAAATACAAGAGAATGACTTAAGATTCCAATATATAAACAAATTATGTTGATTTGTTAATTTTTGAAAAAGTTATGGAAGTTTTAAGAAAAGGAAGTGAAAAAAAAAAAATGACGAAATTTACCGATTTTAAAAATTGTAATTTTTTTAGACATTTTCCCCATTTACGGGGAATGATGGAAGTTTTTTCAATTTATGAGGTTAATATCTTCGGCTAGAAACAATTTGTAATCTTTTAGCGTATTCTTGAAAAAAATCGGTTTAGCGAGATCTGAGAAAAAGTGGCAACAGACACAAAAAAAAAACATCATGGTAAAATTAATACCTTCTCAGCTTCTTATCGAAGCTAAAAATAAAACAAAATTATGTAGTTTATACTTAACATTTTTATTTACATAAACCAATAAATTTAAAAATTAACTGCAAGTATGATGTATTTTTGTACCATTTCAGTAAAATTCTTCTACGGTTTATGGCTTCTGATATCTGAAGTCAAAAGAATTAACATAAATTCGAATTAGAATTAGTGAGGTGCTTAATTGATTTTTCAAAAACTATTTTGAGCTTAACTATGAACTCATCCAAATATATATATATTGGAGAAATATTAAAAGGGATGACTGTTAAGCACTGAAGGGCATAGGTGAGTCGAGTTCTCTTCCGTCCCCCCCATCATTTTATATTTAATTGTCTGTTTGAAATCAATTACACTAAGCTAGATATGCTTATTTTGCGACACGTATTGTTGTTAATTTTGTTTTCAAATATTTAAATACTTCAAATACCATTAACTACTAACCTAGTTTTTATAGATATTTTTTATTTTTTTGTCAATACATTATATTAACTTTAATGTGATGTAGGCTTAAAGAAATTAAGCTTTTTGATACATAATCAAAAATTGAAAACAAAAATATTTAATGTAATGATTATGTCCCCACCCAGTACTTAGGTTAATAGGATTGTCAAAACAAGTAATCGTACGTCGTCAACAAGATAACCTAAGTGAGTAAGCCTAAAGTATTATCAATATAAAATTTCAGAATGATCCGTACAGTACTCAGCTACGCATTCAAAAAGTAATTATTAAGACTTCAAATTTTTATTTGATTACTTAGTAATCAAATAAAAATTAATATAAATTAATAACAAAAATAACGATTTTTATGTAATATAAAAATTGTTAAATTCTCTGGTGATTCCAATGAAAAATTAGAAAGATAAAAAAATATTTTGATAAAAATTACAATAAAATAAATTGATGTTAATTATTAACTTAATGATAGAAGACAAACTAAAACAAATTTAAATGAAACAATTATTATGTATGTTTTCTTTCATTGATAGTATCCAATCAATTTCTAGATAATCTGTGATATTTAACAAAAATCGCATAAATAAGAGCATTGAAAATAAATAATACACCGACGACAAGTAACGTGACTATTAAGGGCGTTGACGTATCGAACAATATAGCGCTTCGTCCAAGTACAACGTTAGCTATGCCGTATAGATTCCAAGAAAACAGTGAACAGAAACCAACAGTAGCGGCTATTGAGACAATGATTGACCAGACAAATACGGTAATAGCATTAGATTTAGCTGTGTTCATAGCGGCTTTTACAACACGCAAAGGTCCACGCCGGTTAACCAGCTTCAGCAACCTTAGTATTGACATTGCGGTAAAAGTTGCGCCCATTGTAAGTGCAATTGTATGTGCTCGACACGGTGCCACAAAATCGTCATACACCGGTTGGTCATTAACCGAGCTAAACTTGTCTGATAATGCTTCCATCGCCCGTAGACGTTCGAGCAAAGAGACAATGCAGAAAACGATTACAAAGGCCAGGCTAACATCGTACACTATCCAGAAAGTTGACAGGCCGAATTTTACGATCTCGCTGTAGAGACTTATTAGTTGAAAAACTGCCGCTCCGCTGAAAACGAGTACAACCATCAAGGTGAAAGTATAAGTTTCCCATGAGATGATTATCGAAGCTGTGGGTATTGTTTCAACCTAACATCAAAAATGTTTAATATTAATTTTGTGCGCATATAAGTTTTATTGAAGTATGACATATTATTTGACGAAAGAATAATTCTTTATAAGTAAACCTTACTTATAAAGAATTAACCTAATCGTTTTTATCTTGCCTATGGCGTTTTTAGACGTAGATGTAAACACCGTTTTAATATAGAAACTGTTTAGAAATAAAATTTATAGTTCAATCGATTACACTTACTTCTACTTTAATTTTGTATGATAGTCCAAACAACGTCATCATATTTATTTTAACTGCAGTGACGGTATCCGATCCTGCGTTGAATACGTGAAATTCTACAAAGAAGTTTTTTGTCCTGACGTCTAACCATTGCAAGTCAAAATACTCGTTCAGCATTATTTTACACTGTAAAGGCCCACCGACCAAGTCTAATTTATAACCAGAATAGTCAGTCTTTGTCGTCTCTAAAGAATTAATTAACAATAAACTATTAAAAAAATTTTTTTATTTGACTTAATTTAAAGCCTTAAATAAATTTCAATTATTACCAAAAAACAAATTATGTTTGATGGTTAGTTCAGTGTACGACCAAGGCAGCGAACCTTTTAACCCTTTTGGTAAATCTGTCCATCCCGGACCATATTCTCTCGTATCTTTTTTACCGTTTTCGTTGATTCTAATTTGACGCAATCTTATGCCAGTCCCTATAAGTCTACTGTTGTATAAGTTGAACCATCCCACACTATCGTCTAAATAAGAATAAGCAATATAATGATTTTAAGAATACAATAAATGCTCGACTTTCTACGCCGTTATAAACTTTACATTCTTCAGAGTCCAACAGTTCATCAATGAGCCCCTCTCCATTGTACAGCTCTGATGTATGAAGCGATTTTATGAGCTTTTCCGACAATATTACCTTTAAGCTTAAATTATATTTCGATACTAGAATCATTTTATACTGAATGAATTTATAGGTATGTAACTAACTTTTTTGATGTGATGGTATCGCTATACTTGGTCTTAAAAATGTGTTCTACGTGTTTTGAAACCAACCGATTGACATGTAATCGGTCAATTTGATTTCCAAAAGCATCCATCAGACAAAGGTAGCATACAGACAATGAAATAAACACTATACATAACAAAAAATTTGCTCTTGTGTTCTTATAATCAATAAGATGTATTTGTCGATTTTTCGATGCCTATAAAGTTAAAATTCACAATTTATATAGTATTAGAACTCCTATCTGTAACAAAAAAATATTGTATAGTCAATGACTTTATAAAAATTGTGAATTAAAAAAAATTTAAATGTAAGATAATGATAGCATTTTAATGAGAAAATAAAAAAAATGATTATTATTATTATTATTATATTAGTGATAGATACACTCAGAATAATAAACTAGGTTTTAAATAATAGTAATAAAACGAATTTTCGATCGTTCATTTAGATCCTGAGTTTCTTACAATCGCTTTAGTTGAAGACAACGGCGCGTACAAAAATCTTTCACGAGTTTTTCGTATTGCTTTGAGATAATTGGCATCTTGTGACAAGGGTTTATGTTTTTCTCTGTACCGTGTTAATTGTATTATGTACATCAAAGATGTTAAGCTCTGAAAAAATAAAGTAATTTTTAATGTACGGCAGCAAAGTTTTGCTCTGCTTAATAATTGGGCTACTGTGCATCTTAAATATATCATTGGACCAAAATATAAGTACCTAATAGAGCGTTATTAGTGAATTTTATAATTATAAAATTACGAAACATAGTAAGTTTGCCCTACAAATTTTGTTATCTACTCTCTACAGCTTCTATTTTTTTGTAATGTTGTTTTTAAAGGGTAGAAGTAGTCTCATTATACGGTACTCAACATCAATACTTACATTATTATCCTTATCATACGCTGCTGCAAGAGCACTAGTAAAAATTATATTGAACGGTTTGGCTATCAACACATTTTGTACGAATCCTAAAAGTATAGCCGTTAACCAGCAAAGGCTTTTCACTCTACCAAATTTCAGACCATACAAAACTATATAGAATCCAGAAAATGCGTACACTACAAAACAACAAGACCTGCAACTCTCCCTGGTTAGCTGTGGTTATAGAAAATTAACAATAATAACATTAAGTAACATACCAACCTGTAATAAGCCAAATATTCCAACGATAAAGAATTGACGGCGTTCCTGTGTGGGCCGGAAAATAGTAAATCGTTTTTGTCATTTTTTGTGCTATTAACAATGTGGGGTTTTTCTTCCAAATTGATGCTAAAAAGTTTGGTGTCCAAAAATTAATTGTTTGTAGGTTAAACTAACGCTGTAACTCACTTTCAGTATTTAGGTTATTTTCTAGCACATGATTTTTCTGAGGAATCGTTGATCGAATTTTTCTGAATGTTATGCTGGCATTTTTCCTAAAGTGTACAATAACGTTTTTATTTATTTTTTCTATAATTATATCAGAAACAATTCAAATATTAAACATTACTCGAAACAAAAATACACTCCAAAAGTCAATATTAATTCTAAAAACTCGCTTTGAATAGCAATAATCACTTCTCTGATGCGCAAACCATAATTTAAAAACTGTTCTTCGTCTTCTAAATGAAAAAAAAAAATAAGTAGTTTTTAAATCTAAGATATTATAAGCATATAATATAATAAAGTTTTTTTTAATTTTACGATTTAATAGTTCGTAGAATACCATGCTGGCTATCATAATGCTCAGGACAGTACAAAGAACCATATTCAATCTTTGGCATCTCGTATATAGGGACCTCGGGTGACTGTAAAAATATATAAAATAGACCAATAAAAAAAACAATGTTTAATTTTTATATTCAAATTATTTATAAAAATCACATACCGCATAAAAATACTAGCCCAAGTATGTTTTTCACGTGTAATTGTCTCTGCCAGCTCTCTCGTTTTTCTCCTCCACCTGTGACGTGGATTATTAATTTTAATAATGTAATGGAAATCTTTACCCGGTCGAACTAATGAAAACCATCTTTCTACCTCGAACTGATATTTTTTATTATGTCTCACGTCGATTACTACAATTCGTTTGCAGTACCATTCTGGATCAAAGCCTTCGTTATCATGCCATAATCTAATAGTATGTATTTCACCAAGATGTTGAGGTGTGAAAATCAAAAACCAATCATCGTTTGACCGTTGCATTGTTTTGTAATAATTATTATTGAGGCAATGGGGCTGAAAAATTATAATATATTTAAAATATTGTATACCACTTAATGACATATACAGAGTGATCGAAATCTGATAAGATACTTATTTTCTCAGAAACTATTGAGAATTTAAAATTTTTGTAAAAAGAAAAATTATTAAGTTTATAAAACTCTATATAATTATATGAAGTTAAATAAAAATTTTTTTTATCCCTTCAGGGATAAAAATGTTTATTTATAATTTTTTTAAATTGGAACCACTATATTTGATTTGATAATATGATAGAAAAAAAAATTACAAACAATTTTGTTCTTATAATTTTTTTATCCAAACAACCGTTTACGTTTTATAATTGTTTAAAGATTTTGACTTCCAGAAAAAATTCTATCATTTATTACGTATCATAATATCGGTGGCAGTGCAACCGGTATTTTTGTTAGATCCTTTAGTCTTACAAAACCATAGACTTAGCTATTAATAATACACCGAAAACCCGGTTTGAATCTATTATTGTTATCACTCATTTAGTGCGTAGTAAATTTTTATAGCTAATTTACCTGTCATAACTTAATCAATAAAATTTGGTTTATGCAATATCAAATAAAAAGAATGACTTCTGTATTTGATACAGTAAAATGACAATAGATATTTGGCTTTAAATCATTTAACTTTAACAAGCTGTAACGGACGAAAGGTTAATCGGATAAAAAAAATTATAAGAATAAAATTGTTTGTAATTTTTTTTTTTCTATTATATTATAAAGTTAAAAATAAGGGTTCCCATTTAAGAAAATTATAAATAAGGGTTTTTATCCTTGAAGGGACAAAAAAAATAATGGTTTGACTACATATTATTGTAGTTTTTTTAACTTAATATTTTTTCTCTATAATAAAATTTAAAATTCTCAATATTTTCTGAGAAAATGAGTGTCTTACCAGATTTCGATCATTCTGTATACAGGTAAAATAGATCTAACTGATGACACATATAAGTTTGATACAATCATCCATTTAGTTGTATTTTATTTTTAATAATTTATGTATTCTTAGACTATGTTAAAATTATACATTTAACTTCAATGAGAAGCTGAGAAAATATTAATTTTAATATGATGTGTTTCTTTTTTTTTTTGTGCGCGTATTTGTTGCCACTTTTTCTTAGCTCTCGACGGACCGATTTCTCTCAATGGTAGGTCAAAAGATCACATATCGTATCTAGTTGAAGAAATTGCCCTTTAAAATTTAAAAAATTTCCCTTTTTCCTGTAAGTGGGGAAAATCTTCAAAAAAATTAAGGTTTTTAAAATTGGTAAATTTTGAAATTTTTTTTTTTTTAAACTGCCATAACTTTTTTAAAAATTAACAAATCAAAATAATTTATTTTTATATGGAAAACTTAGACATTATTCTTTCATTTAATATAAATTTTAAGGAAATCTGACCCTTTACCTTCCAACGGGGGCGGATTCAAAATAGCAAATTTTTCACAAAAGTCAATTTTTTGAACTTTTGATAATGTTTGAGAAATATTATGTCCTTTAAATATATGTTACATTAAAGTTTATGTTACGTACTATAAATTACAAAAAAAAATTAGTCTTCGTGACTTATCGTGTATGTGCAAATAGTTGCTGTAAATTAAAAAAATGCAATTTTTGTTTCAAATTTTTTTTTGTTTATTTTAAAATACCAAGTTTTCCTATAGTAATGAGTCCACGAATTTTTATAAAAGTTACATGAGTCTAACTTATATTAATTATAAAATTAAACTTATTTTGATTATTTGCCTCCTCAAAGTTAAGAAAAACGACTTAGAAATTGTCAACTGGTCTTTATATAAAATTTCATGTAACGCATAGTTTCGTCGAATTTAATACGGTTTATACGCTTAAGGTACGAAGTTTGAACCCCGTCCGTTAAAATGAATTATTGTCATAATTCTTTTATTTGAAAAAAAAAAAATTATTTTTATCTCATTTAGATTGAATAACTTCAATGAATATTATAGACCCCATCACTGTAGTCTCTTCTTGCGAGAAGGAATTTCTTATTCATATTAAAATATGAATAGGTATTTTTTTGTGTCTGTCATTCATTTTTCTCAGCTCTCACTTGACCAATATTAATGATCATACATCAAAAGAACACTATTTAATTTTTTTAAACTTACAAACACCAAATATTAGAAAATATCCTTTAATTTTAGAAATTTAGACAGATATCTCAAAATTACTCTACTATGAAAAATGGCCACCTAAAAAAACTTTTTTAATTAAATATCTCCAAATTAATAGGAGTATGAAATTCATTTTTATACTGAATTACACAAAATAATCATAGAGGAATGTATACTAAACCAAATTTTTACACTGATTTAAAGTCTGAAATTAGATTTTTTCTATAACCTCTTTTTTAAGATTATTACTAATTAGAAAGCACATGAAAAAATGAATTTAAAACATTTTTTATTAAGTTATTATTAATTTTTAATATATTAAAAATAATGCATGCAAAATTTCAATTCAAAATTATTTTTATGAAAGCTTATATTTCAAAATGCTGAACGTTTAGACACTATTTTAGCTTAACTTGCATATTTAGACTTTTAATCATTATATTGAAAATTTTAAAAGGAATGAAAAATTGTATTTTTTAAATTGATATGTGATCGAGAATTTAAATAATTTTTATTGCAATAACAATATATAACAGATAGAGAAGAACATATTGATGCCAATATTGACAGCGTTTTAGACACAAATTGCCAAAAATTACTTAAATTAGAGTACAAATAATAGATTGATGGATAGGATTAGAGAGAGATTTTAGGAGAAATTTATTAACAAGCAAGCGACAGCGGATTTTGAGGGGCGGAGAGGAACACTTAACTAAAATACTGTGGCTCTGGGTTGATTTTGGAACATCAAGAATACTGATATGTTCGACTACTTACAAAGAGCAGAGGAAAGAGCAATTGAACGAAATGCAATAAATACTGTTAGATTTAGGAACAGCAATGACGTTAAAATAACCCCTAGAGTCGCGTATGAAATCTTGGGATTATAAAGAATTAAAAATGTTTTTAATAATAAAAATAATAATTTTTTTTAATTTATAATTTTTACAAAATTTCAATTATGTCAATTATGAAATAAAAAGTATATCATATTTCCTTGTACATTTACTTTCCTACATATACAGCTAATAAAATTTGTAATGAGGATAGTATGGTAGCACACGATGATTTGCCTTGCGGAAATACTACACATGGACAAAGTTTTCAGTTATTGATATCAAGTTGACTTTAATGATAAATATTGACCATAGTTTTATTTAATCATTAAATTTAGAGATACAAGAATTTGGAATCAAAGTAATATAAAAAAAAAATGTGTCTCTCTGAACAAGAGGGACCTTTTATCAGAAAGACGTCCCAACGGCTCGCATACCTCATAGCTATGCGAGACGCCTTGGATGAGGCGACTTCTACCCCGTGGAAAGCCATAGGAAAAGGGAGGTAGGCCGAGGCTACTCATCATTAAATAGCCTAGACCCGGATAAGCAGGAATTAGGAAGAGGCAAAAGGAATGTGGAATGGGCCTAAGGGACCCATTCCAGGGAGACGAGGAGGCTCCCGTGTCGCGGGGGGATGGCGATATTCACCCGACGCCCACCCGCCCGAAAACCCTATTCGACCTGTTGAACGTGTGCCAATTCAGCAGGGTACCGCGGAGGACTGACCTTACAAGTCCACCCAAGAGGTTACGGCTTAGCCCAAGAGCCTTAAGACTCTCTAACGAGCTAAGTAGCCATACCCCTCGCCAAGTTATGGTCGCGGCGACTGTATGCACTTCAGTCGACTGGTGTCTCGCCATGATTTCGGACTTTAAATCAAGGCGGCTGGCGTACATACTTAACTTTATAAATAAATGTAAAGTTTTTCACATTTTTTTTACTTACTCGACTGTTCATAGTAGTTCCATGTAGTTCGATACACACGTTAGCCGTTGTTCCAGATCCCGGATAGTTACCCGTGTGTACGATCACTAGATATGCTTCGTCTTCCTCGGGATAATTGTCGTCCAGTACTTTAATTTTAGACTAGAAACTCATTTGTAAGCCTTACAGACTGCAAATTAAGGTAAGCTAAAAAAATGTTCTTTTTACCTTGTGTATGTCATTCTTGTCCCAAATTCTGGAGAAAACCATAAGTATTACGTAAACAACAAAAATGATCGCAATCAATATAAGGCAAACCATATTTTCAGAGACTGTATCAAATAAATATATATCGTTGACCGGGCTCGGAACAATCGGTAAAACGAACACGGTACTTTCAAACATTGAAAAATGACGAGTCAAGCAGTGCATATGGCCCTGGATATTACTTTGAGGACCAACTTTCATACCTTCGGTTGTCCATCTACTGCCAGACCACCGCAAGCACTTCATACACACAAAACCCATTCGAAATTTCACATCAAAAGATTCGTAGGTTCGATTTAGGATAGACTAGTTTGAAGAAAACGTACATGTCATGAAGTTATTTCAAGAATAGAACTCATTAAAAAATGTCCAAAAAAAATTAATGAAAACCGGAATAAAACATATTTACTGTATTTACAAAAACACCAATGTAATGTAGGTGGTCTTCGCTTTCTTCAGTTGTGAACAATTTTATTTTATGTAATTTACCGGCAGTTATTTTTCGAATGTATTGCTCGTTTGTCATAACATCTATATCGGGTCTTCTATTCCTTAACCAAGCAATCTAAACGCAATGATATATGTATGGTTAGAATTCAGTTTTAGTTTAAAATGATTTGTATGCTATACTAGCAAGTCGTTGTTTAGAGATTCTACTTTCACGACTAAAGATCCAAATTCTTTCGTATCAAATTTGAACACTACTACAGCTTTGTCAAAGTCCAATCTCTGTGACCCATGGGCTGGCACTCGGATTGTGTACTCCATTAAGGACTCGTTTAACGTGCCAGTTAAATTGAAGTGTATGGACGTGTGTGCATTAAAGTTTCGGGTCAAACCACGGTACTCATTTTCATTAGAACCTCCGTGATTCGACAAAGTCATAAACTTGATGTTGGAAACCATTCCATGGTCTTGTGATGTCCAAGACGTTAATTTTTTATCTAATTCAAAAATCTTTATGCCCCACGTCCCGTTGCTTTTCTGTGCTAGTTCATGAACCAATTCAGGACTCAACAAGTCGCTTCGATTTTTTAGCGTGTTCATATCCTTTACCTTCAAATATGATATGAAAATTGTTACGGTTAACGTATTTAGTACCGGATTTAGGTAAGTTTATGACTCACGTTGGTCCAAAATTTTGACTCAACACTTTCATAATATTTTTCAGCCTCGTATATCATGTGATGTATAGTAAAGCATTCACCGATGATAGTTAAAGATTCTTCAATGTTATAGGTCATATCAGCTAACTGTTAAAAAAAAAATATGCTTAAGCGTTTATAAATACTATTTTATATGATTTCTTGAAAACCAATTAAATATATTGAGGAAACAATATCTAAGAATACATTTTTATAAGAAATTAAATTTATGGTCGAATATGAAGATTTGGTTTATTTATATTTAAAAATTTTATTTAGCTTTTTAGAACTAATATCGACGTAAATCTATTTGTATATTTAGTTTCAGTCACGCATACATTTTGATATGATGATACAATATAACGTGTCCGATTCCGTACATTATTATTTCTGTCTCTCGTGGAAACGCTCCTAATTACGGTGTCGATTATATTCTTCAAACAACTAGATATCAAAAGTAACGTATAATTAAATTGTATATCAAAAGATTGTTTTCTGCATTATCACCTTGTTATTCGACCCATGCGTTCAATATCGGCTGTACGGTGATTTTCTTTAGATTTTCTTAAATAATTAAAGAGATAATTAGTAACCGTTAATAGACTAATTGACGTTTCCTTAAGATTTTGTGGCTTCATTTTTTCTTTGTCTGCTTTAGAGCAAATCATAACGATTTTATTCAAAATCAGTGCTGCGTGTTCAATATTTACTATATTCCTCTCCATTGATATCTATGGACAAATAATTTACTTTATTTTTATTAAAAAAGCGCTCAATTTCATCCTTATGCTTTGACTAACTCTTTGTATAGTTTTGAGAAGTTCAGTGAATTTACTTGTATTATTATTATTATTGTTATTATTTAGCAACACTTCGCTTATAGCTGAAATTTTTTGTATAGTTTCTGTTTAAGAATAAATTAATAATTTAGATACACTAATAATAATAAAGGATATTTACTTTCTATATGTTTACCTGACGTAGTTAATGCTTTATCGTCAATTTCTTTCGACAAAATATCTAATTTTCCAGTTACCGACGTGTTGACCTACGAATTTTAAAGTAATTATAACTTAATTAAATAAAAAATCATAAATAATTTCCATTTTATGACCACTCACTTGAATACTAATATTATAGTCAACGTAAATTCCGTATTTGTTTGTAGCTCTCACTAATATTGTACTTTTAGTCGATAAATGCAATAAATTTTTTATTTTAGGTCCATTGTGTTTTAATAATATGCCTAAAATAGTGTTTCAAATATAAAACAAACATTTCTTAATTTAAATTATTAAATTAGATTTAAAGATCTAAGAATTTAAGTAAATGCATTTCTTAAATTATTTAAGTAAATTTTCTAGCGTTTCAATTTAGACAAATAAATTAAAATTTTAAATAATTTATTTCTCTCGTTTATAACTAAAAATATATGCCATTTAAAACCTATATAACTGTATATTTTTCTTTAAATTCTACAAAAAAACTAAGAACATAAGGTTCATAATTTTCAAAACTTTTATTCAACCTAGAATTTTTCAATCCTATTACTTTATAAAATACATTATTAGCTATATAAAATAATAAATTAAGGATAAGACCCTCATTCTTTTAGTTCACACAGATTCTTTAAATTAGTTTACTGAGTGTAAGTTTGTCGACGAGCGATATCGAATCGTCTGATGTTTTTTTGTTTAATTATTGAACGTAATTAAACTTAGTGAGAAGGTTGGAAGATAAAATTCAGTACTTAATACTTGTTATTGTTGATTTATTGTAATTAAAATAATTGAATAGTAAGTGATAGTAATAGTAGTAAATACACTCAATAATACGATAGCGGAACTACAACTAATTATTATTAATAATATTGACTCGAATATGCACAATTTGAGTGGTAAGATATCTTCTGGATCAGCAAGCTTGTGCAATAATTCATAACATTCTGTACATAGAGTGTTCAGATAGTAATAAACGCGTTTCTATTATTCTCATTGTTTGTAACCTGTTTCCTTACTTACTGAACACTATAGATACATATATATAGGTGTTCAGTAAGCAAGGAAAAGGATTTCTATTATTCTCATTGTTTGGAACAATTGTTCTGATTCCTTACCTTTTGACACCCTGTTTAATGTACAAATACTTTGATACCTAAATTACTCTGATCGCCTTCGAAAGGTTCATAGAAGTCATAGTTTAGATTTTTATCTCCGTATTGATCTCGAAATCCCCAGCATTCTAAGTTCCATGAAGACTTTCCATTCAACAACTTAATTTCATCAATACGACATTCACCTGCTTCCGGTTTCCCAGCAGTTTCAATAATTATATAACTATCAATAAATTCGACTTTTTCTAAAATATGACAACTTTAGATAAAATACACAAAATAAATGGAAACAGTATATCTAGTTTTAGGAATATTATTTTCAACATTAAGATGATATTTCACATGTATAATATATGCAATGTACATATTTTTCACATTTATTATATAACAAAAAAAGAAAAATTCAATGCCAAATAAAAATAAACGCCAAAAAGTACATTCTATCGTACCTAGAACTTTGATCATGTAAACTTTGTTATAATCCAATGCATTTTTTTTTATTATTAAGATGTTCGAGGGTGTATCAGACACTCTGATATCAAAATCTTGCCTAAAAGAAGATTCCATTTTTTCTTTATAGCTCCATTCAAATGTACAGTTATTACATTTTGTCTCAACATAGAGGTATATAATTTCTAGCGGACTGGAAATAGTACCGCAGTTTTTTAAACACCTAACAATAGCAACAACTGATAAGTTAACATATACATATACTAAAATGATACGTATAATATTACAAATCATAACATTATTTTTGTATACTTGATTTGAAGTGCAAACGTTTGACTACGCGGTATCACTCGAATAACCGCGTTAGCATGTTTTGGATTTCCTATGTTGGCTTTATAATAAGAGTCAGGTCTCACTGTTAGACTGAATACATACTTGGCTGCTTTATTCAAAGGGGCGCTTAATTTTCTAATTGGATCTAAACCAGTAATGATGGAATATTAACATTGAACATTTTTTGGATGTAATTTAATTAATTAGTTTTTAGTAGTAAATAAAAACTTGGTGATAAAACCTTATCAATCAAGTATTGATAATTATCACATTAGTCTTAAAGTGTAGTCATAGAGTAATTACTCTATTACTCTATGAGTGTAGTACGATAAATAAAAAAAAACGTTCGGCCATTTTTTAAAAATTAAAATTAATTTCTAATAATTCATCACTGTGATTTGATTCTTATCTAACATTTCTGTAAAATTTTAATATTTAACGCTTAAATTATAACCACAGTATACCTTTTGTAATATGTTCTCTACAGTTTTCCCTATCACTTTCAATATTACAATTCCAAATATATTCCAAATGATTTTGTCTATCATTTGGTTCATTGGGATTATTCGATAAAGATGCGTCCAAAAATACGAGACCACGATTGTCAACGACAATCTCCGGACTACCGACAATATTCGCATTGAGGTCCAATAAAGAGTAAGACATTACACACTGTAAGAATTCTTTTTTCATCAGAAGATAGCAGAATTAAAACTTATTGATTAGTATACTCTACAGCACGACTTACTTACCATATATTTATTGGCCACTGTAATTTTATCATCTTTAACAGTGACATGGAAATGCGCCACTAACTTTACAGGTTTTACTAAAGGAAGAGTGTACTTGGGAATAAGGAGGTTTTTTTGATGAATAATGCTGCTATCCTCGAGTTTTATCGGATCTCCTTTGGGAACTTAAAAAAAGGGAAAAATAATTTAAAATTTATATTTAATAGTAATTTTTGATTGTGAAAGTCAAATACTATGTATTTCCTTAATATATTTAATGTAATATATTTCCTTATTTAATGGTAACTTCAACAGAGTAAAAATATCATTGACAATTCAAACGGCAAGTTAATGTTTTGTTATTTGTATACATTTTTTAAAATTACTTGTATTACTATCATCATAATAGATTTTCCATTCATAATTGTAGTCGAGATGTTTATCGCAAAGTGAGTCATTGGTAACATTCATTTTTATTTCAAAGTCATCGGCTCGAGTAAAACGTTTTTGACTCTTACTAAACATCATTAAAAAGTTATGTAAGGTTTTTTTTTTTTTTACAAATAATTGTTATAAATTTAATTGTGTCAACAAAAAAAATTTCAATTATTTAAAAATCAAGTTTTTAATATATAATTAATTTAAAAATACTAACGTTAACATTAAAAACTACCTAATAAAAAATAAATTCATAAAAAAACAACCCATAAAATTAAAAGTATGTAAACATATAATGACATACAGGGTTTACTTATATGTCACATATATTACTTCGACTCATTATTTAAGCATAGTAAGTTTAGATACTTGCCAATTATTGTCGTATGGTTCTACAAATGGTACGCAATAGGTTTGTTCGTCGTCAATAACCAAATGTCGATATGTAAAGTCTTTAACCGCACAAATTGATTTTTGTTTAACAGAACAAGCGCTGATTTTCATATCATACCAAGCACCCCATTTACCTTTACTTGGATTATTTTTGTCAATGTAGGCATATTCTGTATTAATTTTTTTTTTTGATATGAAATATGGCGGCGTACTAAAAACTGAGACATACTTTTTACCACCTGATAAAAATAAATCACAATTAAATGGCCCTTTTTCGTTTAATTTTTTCAATCAGCTAATGACCAATGAAGCTTCATCAGTCGAAAAATTTAAACATTTTGTTATTATTTCATGATAATAAACAAAGTTAAATACTATTTCTTCCGGTAAAAAATTAAGTAAGAAATTGAGCTGAGAGATAGTTAATTAGTATATTTTAGAGTAGATATGTTGAATCTAATTTGACAGAATATAATATTTATGTTCAATTTAGTTTAACTTCAATCAAGTTAAAAAATCAATAAAGGTGCGATATTGTAGGACAGATATCTCCGTATCACGTACCGTGATTAGAAGTCTACTTGGATATATAAGCACTTTAGTGACGCTTGAAGCAAGAGAAAACAAGCCTCAAAAATAACACATATTTTATAATTTTTAGTTTAATTTCTAATTACTTATTCAGAATTAAATTTTATGAAATTAAATAATATGAATCATGAACCACTTAATAAATCCAAAAAAATATAACATTAATCTTCTTTTGTTTTCTTTTAGTTACACACTTTTCTCAATTTATCAATCCTGAAATAATTTTAATATTCATACCTAACTCCTAATAAAACTTTATTTTTTTAAACGTCAATATATATTTATTATATATGTATTTAACTAGCTTAAAAAAAAGAAAATTATTTAATTAAGAATATGAAGTTCGATAACAACTTTTGAATGAGTATTTCAGAAGTTATGAACATTTTTATAGCAAAGCAGAACGAGGATTTATATTGAAAAATGTCTACTGATAAAAATACTAGAATCTATGTCTCATTTCCTCTATTCATTACAAACAATTATAAGTTTGAATTATAATAAGGTCCGCATTTTTAATATATTAAAAATATAATTAATTAATTAAATAAAATTTAAAATTATGTGTTTGGTAGTTTATATAAATTTATACGAAAGAATATTACACCGATTCCACAATACTATGTTCTATATTTAAATTAATAAAATATCAGTAATTGAACAATATTTGCATGAATTCTTATAAACAAAGGAATCAATTCGAACACTATTATGTCTTTGACTGATATCTTCAAATTAAAATAGTTGGCTTTGATGGCTCTAGTATTTAAGTACATACTTTACAGACAGTGTTTTAATATTAGTTTCTGTTTTACATAGTAAAGTCAATTAAAGTACTATATACATCTTCAAACGTACACACTGTACAATAAATACATGAACAATATCACACACAACTCAAATATTTATATTTTATAATTCACATTGATGTTATACCAATAAATTAAATGTCGCCATCAAATATTTGACATAAAGAGTAATTATTGGATTCGTCAAATTAATAATACATTATACAATTATAATTAATACAAAATAGTAATCAAAAATTTTTAAATATAAAAGATATGATAAAAATTAATTAATAAAATATGAAAATGTCAATACTAAAATGACGTCATAAAATTATTAATTTTTTCATAATATATACAATTTTTACTTGTAGAGTTAAACAAGCTGAGTAAATTCTATCGACTTAAATAATATTTTATTATTCAATAAATTAAACCAAAATTTTAGATATATTTATTCAATGTTTTTAAATTATACTTGTTGTCTACTTAGATTTTACTGTTTTAAAACTGATATAGTTATATTTTATATTATAATAATAATATTCCTTAGAATGTGTAAATAATCGAAGTTTAATTCTATTCCTAGTTTTCACACTAATTAACTAAATAAAAAAAAACAGCGTTTTTGTTTATACTAGTATAATTTTTTCAAATGTAATATATATAAACTTAAGTTAATTTGAATATTTTTGTGAATATGACAATTGTTGCCATAATATTGGTAAATGATGAAATCATCAAAAAAATTACTAATTTAAAAAACGCTAATTTTCGACATTTTTTCAATTGTAACTTTGAAGCTGAAAAGGTATGGATTTTACTATGATGTGTTTTTTTTT